ATGTAGTGCAAACATAAGATGTGTAGACCGAAATCGTCCGAAGGCTGCGCTGGACTATGTGTGTTTGATGCAGAAGTATAAATCAGCCTTAACAGAGCGGGGTCAAAACAAAATTGACTTGGAAAAATTAGATCGATTATAGCTTCTAAATGTCGATTTAGATTACTTTTCCAATAATCGCTCAGCTGTACGATTGATCTTTAGTCTAGAGTCTAAATACAGAACAGTTAAAAAACATGTAAGTGCAATTCAATTATGTTAATTTTAGATTGCAATGCTGAAAATCTGAAAGTTTATTCCACCATTGATTCCTGAACAAGTTGAATCAACAGCTTTAAAAACATGACCAAAAGACCTGAATAAAAAAAAATACAGATCTGAATGTGATCTGAAGTTAAACCTGAGACTCTCAGGGAACCGACTGTGGAGAATGTGTGTGATTATGTACAGTAATTGCTGGGTATTGCAGAAGGGGGGGAAAAATCAAAGGAAGTCAACAAACTCATTTTCAAGATTTATTTTCATACGGACAAAGTCAAAGATTCTTTTCATCTCTGTTGGAAATCAACTATTAAACTTGGTCAAAACACAGGAAGAATCAAAGTAAGAGCTACACATTAAAGGGCACATTTCATTTACTTAAAAACATGCAACAACAAAACTTAAAGAGGGTAACATTTAAGGGTAAAATATAATAAAAGTCATGTTTTCTTCAGACCACAGGCCAGTAAAATGGCGACCGGCGCTTGGATATTAAACACTACACTCACAAAAGAATGGCTTATTGGCACAAGCACCACTGACACACACCGGCCATGCCAAGCACACTGCCATTCGAAGACAGAAAGACAGCCAAGGACCTGCATCTGCTGCCAAAATGAACTTCTAACCTTCATGAAATGCATTTGAAACATTCTCAGAATGCTGTAATGTGTTGAACCTCCCAGCAGGCGGTTCTAAAAAACTGCATCCAACTGACCTCGGATGCACCTACGCACATTTAAGTGTGATGCCAACAGGTGACTCACGAAATTGCGCCACAGTTTTTACCATAACAGAGCTCTATACTCCAGCGAGGACACTCTGGCGTCCCTCTCTCTGTACTAAAACGAGACACCTGATCCACTCATTAGAGAACAGGAATGAGGCACTTTTCACTCTGACCTTTTCAGCACGGCTTTACTCACTAAACCGCTCACACAACAGGAAGAATCTGACCAATAAAATCCATCAAGCAAAAAATGCTACATAAAAAGTGGTGGGAAGTTGATGTTATCAACTTCTGATAAGCGATTTAATTTGGCACATAAATCAAAGTTTAAGGATGTTCTCTTTGAATGGAGGACCTAAAATTTACCAGCCAGGCTAAACTCCCCAACAGGCTTAACATGGTTTTTTGGCATGTGATGCAATTTTTCCACTTATAAAACAGGGATACAATTGATGTAAATGTTTTGCTGGAAAATGGAAAAAGATAAGACCTCATAACAATAGAGAGTTTGGGAAGCTTTAAAGCACCTCCCCCTATCCTGCAACCTCAACTCCAGCTGAAAGCCATTTGTTTCCGTTCCTCTCTTGGGTTCAAATGCTTGGTTTACATTGTGAAAGCCAAAAATGATGGGAATGCATTTAGCTTTATTTTAAACTGCAGAATGTACTCAGTCATGCTGCGTTTTACAAGTTTGTGTAGATTCTGGAGCAACATTTTTGCTCAAAAATTTCTACAACAAACCTAACCCTGCTTATAATGTATCCTGAGGGGGAAAATGGGTAAACGGGATGACGTAGAAGCCCTTAACCCTTGTTTCTAAACCTAAACTTGGCATACAACATTGAAAACTTATCTCTCAAATCTGATTCAACAAGGATGCTGATCACGTAACACAGTCTATTTGTCAAGCATCACGAGAGATATCATTTAACCAAGAAATAAGCGTTCCTGAATCAATATTATGCGTTAGTAACCGGATGACATTTGTGTAAATATTTAATTTTCAAATGAGCAATCATTTACAAATGAAAGATTGATAAGAATGTGGTAAGTCCTAAAACTAACCAATAAAACACCGTAAAATCCAGGATGCACTGTGTTTTTATCTTCCAATACATTTTCATGAAATTTGAATGATCTTTTTATTTTCTATTATTCAGTCTAATAAATTACAGACAACTTTTTAAAAATATGATTGGAAATGAAATAAAATAATAATAGTTTGCTCAAAAATCAGACATTCCTATATGGCTTGAAGCAGTATTGTTGTTTTATTTCAATAAAATACTATTACTGTTTTAATAAATGTTCTCGTTCAACTTTTAAAAATACATTTTACAGCTTCATTTGGAAGTTTTAGTAATTTAGTTCCTTTAATTTGCTTTTATTTTTTATTATATTTTAATTTTCAGTTAAGTCTGAATCCATACGGCAGTTATTACTGTAACAACTGCACCATTTACTCTAAAACTGTGTCACATATACGTATACTTATACTTACACATATATTTATTTACTGTTAAATCTGATTCTTTCCCATGGCTAATAGTCCTTAAAAACAATAGGGTATATGCAGAAGCATGCAGAAGGACTTTTAATTTGTCAGTAACCTTGGTCAAACGCTTCCAGTGAACTGTATTCCGTTACAAAATCAGCATGTTTAAGGTCTGTTTTCTTTAAAAATCAACAATCTTCACCGCCTAAATGATATACGCTATAAAGTGGGTCTCAGAATGTACAAGAAACACTGCATTAAATTACATTTTTCTACGCCATGTCTTTAAAATATTTTAATTTATTTTACTCCAATATTTCCAATGGTGTTTCTGGGCTTGCCCGTTGATGCCTGCAAGTAAACGGCTTTTCATCTCGGTTTACGCTTCAATAACAAACTGAACACTGATTTCTATTTAACTGATTATAGTTTAATTTTATTACAACATCTATGCTGTAAAAGAAACTGTATAAAATTGAAAAGTCACATTACCCGTTCACCGGACTGTTAGCTGTATGGGAAGAAACACTAGCTCTGCATATACCCTATTGTGAAACTCCCTGCCGTTTCCCTCCCTGTTTTTCTGCCACTTTAACACAATGTTGATTCAGGAACACCATATTCAGCAAACAATAGTTGCTTTTTTTTGAACCCAGCTCTGCTGTCCCATCATACAGTACACACTGCTCTTAAATATCTATCCATCTGAATTTTCATTTTTTATTCATCTACCCAACTTTCTACATCCATCTCAACTTCAATCTCATCTCACCATGAACATCAACGTACCATGAGAGCCGCTCAATCTACAGTCTACCTAAAGAGACACTCTATACTTATCTTGTCCATCTACTGCTTTACTGCCAACATACCTTCTAAAACTCTCTCTCTCTTCTAGCTGCGCTGCCATCACTCCCTGACATCTGAACTAGAGCTGGGCTTCACCGAGGGCTCTGTGTGAGCATGTTTGGGTTTCCTGGGGGCTTCTGGGACATCTCCTGTAATTTAGAAACAGCCCTGTGAGGCACCGGGACAAAAGGCATCTGTATTCAACAACAAAAGTAGTGGGGAGTGGGGATGTTTGTGTTGATGGGGGATTAGGCTCCTCTCTTTAATACAAAGGGTTAACTTCTCTGCTCCATTTCAAAGCCAACTTCTCCTCCCTTGTCTCCTGTCCACTGTAATCTCCACCCATTTCCCTATATTCCAGTGTGGAGGAGAGACGGGGAGACGGCATGAGGTTACAGAAACATCTGGAACAGTTTACTGTGCATGCCTTTGTGCCCGGCGAAATGGGGCTTTCCAGTTTCTTGGGTGAAACTCACAAAGGCGTGCAGATTTTACACCCATTTTCAAATAATCAAATGTAAGAACTGCTATTTTGCATTGTCACATTTTCCATGGTGATTCATCACGTTAACACAATGGGAACTGTCATTAACCTACTTTAGAAAGTTTTTGAGTGTGATTTTACTCAGAGTTTTTTTTTTTTTTACTATATTAAGAGTGAAAAGGGCAATAACACAAGCATAAATTAAACATAAAATCATGTTGTATAAATACTTTACAACTTAAATAATACATTTCTGCAATATAGTGTTTTTTTGCAACCCAGACTCATTCAGAAAACATACCCCTGTATACATATCTGGAGAACGAGAAAAAAACGTTGCAGGATCTACATTTTTTGCGTTTTTTGTTTTGTACGCTTTTTCAGATCTCAAATATCTCTTGGGAGTGTCATTCGCGCCTGCTGTTTTAACGCACTGATTGACCCGCTCACCCTCTTTCCTAAACCCAACCACAGTGTTTTAAAAAGCAATCCAGAAAAAGAAAAGCCCCCTGATTTTAACCACATTTTCAGATTTTACCACATTCTCACCCTGTTATTTATTGTCTATTTTATTTTTTAGCTTTTGTTTTTGTCTTACGCTTTCTGGAACCGTTCTTCACCGGAATCAGACCCTGTTGTCGCAGTCAACTCCGATCTGCATCTCAAGTCTGCCAACGTACATGTCGAGCTAGCGGACAAACTGGTAACAACGGAAAAGCCGACCATACGGAGGTAAGCAGTCAGCTGGTAAGCCTGAAAAGGAACGGCGTCATTTCCTTTAAAGATGAAATGCAGCAATACGTAGCTCTGCCTACATAATTCGTGATCTCCAGAAATGTATATAGGTCTATGTTTTCAGAATGAGCCAAAGTTGGTTTTTTGTTTGAGGCTAATCTTTTTCTTCTGTTGAACACAAAAGAAGGAATCTGAAGAATGTTGCAGGTATTCACTTTCAATGGCTTTGATTTCAAATATCTGTCAACGTATTTTCTTTGTGTTCAACAGAAAAACAAAACTCATAAATATTTGAAATTACAAGGCGAGTAAATTGTTAATAAATCTTCATTTTTGGGTGAACTGTCACTTTAATTTGCTGTGGTCTGTCTTGTTTTCAAAACTAAAGTAAAAATCTGGGACCCACTTTACATCAAGTAGCCCTAACTAACATTTATTTACACTGATTGATGATTCATTTTAAATATTATTATTAGTTTTAATTTATAAATGTTTTACATTGTACTTATGTATGTACATATGTAATTATATGTGTAATTACTCTTGACTGTTCCTTACACCTTGACCCACCCCAAAACCTAACAGCAACCTGACCCGAAATGCACCTGAAGTGTTCTGCAACACATTATGAACAAATTAAGAACATTGTCCTTATATTTTGATGCAAATACATAGTAGTTAAGGCCACTTAATGTGGGAGCAAATTATGATTTATATTTTCTGAGTACGGGGGTGAAATATGCACATTTTTACGAGTCTGTAAGATTCAACAATACACTAGATCTAAACTCTAGTAAGAAAATTGTGTTTCAATTTTAATTACTGTTCGTTTGATTAGCTGTGTGAAAGCGGTGGCTGAAAAGAGTCTGCAATTTGGTCATATCCGTGCAAGAGAGACAACACAAAAGCCTCTCCAGGAGTCATGGAGAAGATTAAATTCCTCTCTTATTTCTTGCCTTGTTCCCATGGGAATGACAAAGACTGCCTTTCTGGATGAGAGGTCTGGTGGAACCAAAACGTCCATCCAGAATCCAAACAACCAAAAGAAACGTAAAAAAAAAAAAACAAATAAAGAAAAGCTTTCTTTGTGCAAGAGGACGGTATGACAGAAGGGAAGGGATCTCTAGGGGGTTCAATGCCCTAACTTGTCATTCATTTTCCTAACAGCTGTTTTCTCTGCTGCTCCAGCAATGACTCAAGATGATCTGCTCTCTTCACTGCCGCCTAAAAGACAGAAGAAAAACACAAATGAGTTGCAAATACATCAAATATACATTCAATATTGAGTTATTTGTAAATAGATCTTAAAAGGCATTTTATTTGTTATAACAGGCACAAAATATACCTCATGTTGCTTCCGCAGGTTGTTCACAGTCTCTTCCTTCTTCAATATAGCTGACTTCACTCTATAAAAGTAAGAGATCAGTAAAATTCACAAAAACAATAGGTAATCAATTGCCTACTGCTGTTGCATGTCCAAACAGGAAACGAAAAGAACATTACTCTCTGCCACTGACCTCTGATGTACTTCTGCAAGCTCTTCTTCCTTTTCTCTGGTCACTCGCTCTACTTCTAAACGAAGTCGAGCTTTGGCTTCCGAGACCTCCATTTTCATCCTCCTGTTCTCTTCCTCCAGCTCTATAAGCCGCTCTGCAAACTCCTGTCTGATGACTTCTGACAGGCTGCGACGCTCTTCTGATAACTTATCACGGGCCTGTCGCCATACCATGAAAAAAGACAAAGATAGAGCATGATGAAGGAAGAAGACGGGAAATCCAGTTAAAAAAAAAAACAAGTCAGTTAAAGAGATTAAACATGTTATTTTTTTTCTTCAGTATAACATTAAAGATTATGTCTGCTAAATCTGTGGTACTTTGTAATTCATATATTACAAGTCAATGGTGACCCATTTTTGTGACTCAGATGTGAGGTGACAAGAGGATGAGGATGTGGATTTTTGCCAAAATGCAGGAATGACTCCAATCTGATAGATGAACTGGCGTCCGAATTCACACTCGGTCTTACAATAAGTCATCCAGTAGCTTGTGCTACACTGTGAATTGTTTGCCAAGGACTGTTCAGTGGATTACACTTAATAATATTCATTTATTTCTTTTCTATTCAGCTTAGTCCCTTTATTAATCTGGGGTTGCTACAGTGGAATGAACCGTCAACTGACTCATTCATTCATTTTTTCAGCTTAGTCTATTTATTAATCTGGGGTTGCCAAAGCGGAATGAACCGCCAACTTTTCAAGCATATGTTTCACGCAGAGGATGCCCTTCCAATTGCAAAGCATTACAGGGAAACATTCATACACAAACATGTACTGCAGACAATTTTAGCTAACAAAATTCACCTGTACCGCATGTCTTTGGAATTGTGGGGGAATTTGTCTGTCTAAAGAAGCCGTGGGGATTAATTAGGAACTGTTCGATTGTTTATTTTTATAAGAAACAAACACAAAATAATACACACAGAAATTGTACATTAAGCATTTTTACTCTTTTACTTTTTCACTCTTTACTCGCATTCTTATTTGAATCTTTTTTTTAAAAATTGCTGGAATAGATTATAACCATTTATTTCTTTATTTTTCATAAAATTCTAGTAATTTTGTAGTAAAATATGACCCTGATACTTGTGTGAAAATCACCCCTCTAGCTGAAGAGTGAAACGACCGGCCTTGTGTGTCAAGCACTGTTATCCTGGACACCTTATCTAACTGCAGTCTGTAATAGGTGATCTATTTTCAGTAGTTTCACACACTGACATTTACAGTCAGGTGTAACTTCAAGCGCAAAGGATCAAAAGTCAAAACGTTTATCACACGTCTTTTTTAAACATTTGTGATGTTGTTTTGGCTTAAATAATTCACTACCTAAATCTTTCTGAGCAGTTCTTCACTTCAATATTTTTTATTAAGTCCAATTCGAAATAACTATGAATGACTATCGAGCATCGCATTAGTTCAGGCAGGACACTTCAGTCCACCTTGCATTTGTTCATGACGTTTACCAATCTGGTTCTGACATCTCTCACAGTGATCTATTTTTAACTATACATCCTGTCTCTCTTTAGTGCTCTGTTCAGTAAACCCCCTCCACCATGCCCAACTCCTCCTAGCTCATATCTTGTATCTGTTTAAAGTTATTAGCCTAAGTACATGCTAATCAGCCTCATGACTATCATTTACATGAACTCATAATAAATGCAATTGTTTGTGCATGATTTCTGCTCAGTTACCCCATGGAGTTTGACTTGCTGTTTTGCCCAGTTAATATATTAAAATACACAGTTAATATGACGTTAAGTCAAAATTATTAGCCCTGTGAATGTTTTTTTCGGTCAAATATTTCCCAAATGATGTTTAACAGAGCAAAGAATTTTTCACAATGGTGCATATAATATATTTTCTTCTGGAGAAAGTGTTTTGTGTTTTATTTTGGATAGAATAAAAGCAGTTTAAAAAAAAAAATCAATCAATATTAGTATAAGTTCCCTTAAGCAATATTTGATCAGTTGTCTCTAGAACAAACCATCATTATACAATGATTTGCCTAATTACCCTAACGTGCCAAATTAGGCTTTTAAATTTTCACTTTAAGCTGAATACTAATATTTTGAAAAATATCTAGTAAAATATTATTTACTGTCATCATGGCAAAACTAAAATAAATCAGTTATTAGAAATTAGTTATTAAAACTTTTATGTTTAGAAATGTGTTTGAAAAATCTTCTTTCTTTAATAAGAAATTGAGAAAAAAATATACTGTTCAAGTCAGAATTATTAAACCTCCTGAATTTTTAGTCCCCCTGTATATTTTTTCCTCTATTTCTTATTAAAGAAAGAAGATTTTTCCAACACATTTCTAAACATAAAAGTATATGACGAAATTTGACGAATATGTGTAAATGACGAAAGTGATCCTGACTGAAAATATGTATTTATTCAGAGCTTACTTGAATTTGTCTTTTTAATCAATACAATCTCACTCATTCTCCTTCAGCTTAATTCCTGCTTTTTTATAAGGGTTCATTACAGCAGAATGTACCGCCAAGTACTATGGCATATGTTTTATGGGTGGATACCCATACTGCCATAACCCATCTAAGGTCCCGTTTACACAAATTCGTTTTCGTTTTAAAACGCATACTTTTTGCTGCGGTTACGCCAACTGTCCACACTGCGCCTGAGTTTTCAAGTGCCCAAATTGGAGCGTTTTGAAAATGATGGAGAGGCCGTTTTCATTCTAAAACGCTGCTCCTCCGTCTCAGGCCCCGTTTACACTAGTGCGTTTTAGTTTGAAAACGCATAAGTTTTGCTACGGTTACGCCATCCGTCCACACTACGCCGGAGTTCTCGAGCGCCGAAAACGGAGCTTTTTGAAAACGCTGGAAAGGCCGTTTTCATTCTAAAACGCTGCTCCTCCGTCTCAGGCCCCGTTTACACTAGTGCGTTTTAGTTTGAAAACCCATAAGTTTTGCTACGGTTACGCCATCCGTCCACACTACGCCGGAGTTCTCGAGCGCCGAAAACGGAGCTTTTTGAAAACGCTGGAAAGGCCGTTTTCATTCTAAAACGCTGCTCCTCCGTCTCAGGCCCCGTTTACACTAGTGCGTTTTAGTTTGAAAACGCATAGGTTTTGCTACGGTTACGCCATCCGTCCACACTACGCCGGAGTTCTCGAGCGCCGAAAACGGAGCTTTTTGAAAACGCTGGAAAGGCCGTTTTCATTCTAAAACGCTGCTGCTCCGTCTCAGTGTGGATGGGGAAAGACATCTGAAAACGGAGGCGGGGCTGCAAACGTTCGCCTATCTGATTGGGGCTTTTCCTCAATATTAAGTAGCCCACACACAGTTCAGTCTCGCATCCTCTTCTTGTAAGTTAAGACTTCGCAAGTTTGATCAAGGCTGCAGTCTCCCCCTTCTCAGTTTGATATGGAAAACATACCGAGGACACGCGTAAATCTTCAAAGGGAACAGTGTACTTTATAACTTCATTCACATCACCTTGGCTACGTTGTTTCACTTTCTCAACAATAAAATGTAAACATGATTTAAGGAACTGCCTATTTTCTTTTTAATATTAGCAACTTAACAGATAGCAGAAATGTTGAGGCGTCGTGCTGCATATATGAGCGTCATCTTCACTGTGTGGATATTTATAACAAAACGGAGCCGATAACAACTGCCTCCTTTTAATTTAAGTGAAAATACGAAACCCCCTCTCTTTTGCTGAATATCAGTTTTAATAATCGACAATTATAAAAGTATAACATACAATAAGTTTATACATTGTAGGAAATAAAGGCAAGCGATCAGTCAATGTACCTGGAATAATCATTAACTTATCTTTGCGCTTAACCAAAACATGTTACCCGTGAACAAGTAACTTAATAGATTCCAATGACCAAAGTCAGGGAATTGGCCTATGTCGTTAAATAAAGACAACAACATGAATGAAATATCACGTTTAGCAAATATAGTGAGATTAGATCCAGCGGGAGATGCGTGATGAGCAGTCCGACAAGCAGAGCTCTCATCTGGGTAGAATGCTGGAGCGCTTGCCTGAGAGTGTGTGTGTGGTCACGTGATGTGCGTTTTCAGCGTTTTGGTGTGGACGGAGAGCAGTTCAGAAACGCTGGGTAAAACGCGAGTGTGGACGCGGATCGTTTTCATTCTACAACGCCGTTTTAAAACTAAAACGCACTAGTGTAAACGGGGCCTCAGTGTGGATGGGGGAAAACGGAGACATCTGTTAACAGAGGCGGGGCTGCCGACATTCGCCTATTTGATTGGGGCTTTTCCTCAATATTAAGTAGCCTAACACACACAGTTCAGTAGTGCATCCTCTCCTTGTAAGTTCAGACTTCGCAAGTTTGATCAAGGCTGCAGTCTCCCCCTCCTCAGTTTGATATAGAAAACAGATTACCAAGGACACGGGTAAATCTTCAAAGGGAACAGTGTACTTTATAACTTCATTCACATCACCCTAGCTAGATTCCAATGACCAAAGTCGGGGAATATGTTGTTAGATAAAGATAACAAGATGATTGAAATATCAAGTTTAATAAATATAGTGAGATTAGATCCAGCGGGAGATGCTTGATGAGCAGTCCGACTAGCACAGCTCTCATCTAGGTAGATAGGCTGCAGCGCTTGCCCAAGAGTGTGTGTGGTCATGGGATGTGCGTTTTCAGCATTTTGGTGTGGACGGAGAGCTGTTCAGAAATGCTGGGTGAAACGTTAGTGTGGACGCGGATAGTTTTAATTCAAAAACTCCATTTTAAAACTAAAACGCACTAGTGTAAACGGGGCCTAGGTCACACACACTACAGCCCATTTAATTTATCCACACTAACTCCACACAGAAAGGCCTGCAAGTCCAGCTGGGATGTGAACCAGCAACCACTGTGCCTTCCTTTGTTTACTCAATAACATGTAATAATAATTTAAAAGTGCATTTACATGCACCTGATTATACTAAATAGATTGAAAATGATCACGTAAACATGTTATTCTGTTTTTCTTTACTGATATTAAATCCAAAAACTGCTTAAGCGTGAACTGATCAGCTCATTTTTGTCTGCTCTGTTAGTTTTTTGAAGTGAGCATGGGTCTTTCCTGATTCAGACAGATCAAAATGTTTTACAGTAAGGGACAAGGAAAAATACTGCAAACTCAGATGCTTAACTGACCCAAAGAAATACAAAATTGTTCTCAGCAGAATGAGAAGTCCTACAGTCAAAAAGATTAATCTGCAACTGCATGAGAGGATAATATATGAGCTGTAAGATTTACACAAATGTTGCAGTACTCCTCTTCAGTTTTGAATTTTTTTTTTTAACACCACAACCAACATAACCATACAAGTCAGATAAGCAAATTGTTATTTTAAAGTTACAACTGGTAAATCTACTACTGCTAATTGTGAGGTTAACAGTTTGCATCTAAAGAAGGACAATGGGATGATTAATCAGTGTATTGGTGTGGATGCACATTTGCTCGCTGACCTTTCTTCTTAAGGACCAAAGATCTTAAATATAATCATTAAGAAGCTGGATTCATTACGTGGAAATGGAATCCCTATTATTCCTTCTCTACTAAGAAACCTACAAGATAGTCTGTTGGTTTATAAGTAACCTATTGACTTTAATGAGGGACAGTAGGCAACGGTTACCTGGGTAAGGTCGCTTATCTCCTGCTCTCGCTGTCGTAAAAGAGACTGCAGTCGGAGAAGCTCGGCCTCCATCTCACTGTGTTTCTCCCTCATCTCCTGCTGTTTCTGTAGCGATGTCCGCTCCGAACGCTCCAGATCCCTTAGCTCGGCTTCGTATTTCTCCCTCACACGCTTCATCCTGCACACATAATGTTTTTACATTCAGCTTTTAAAACCAACAATTGATCCATATGTAAAATGGCCTTATTTTAAATGAATGAGCTTCACATGTAAATGGCCACACACTCTACAGTATGTCCAAATTGCCCAGTAAAGTACTCGACATTTCACAGTAGAGTAGTACACATTTGCACTTAATTGTGAAAACAATTGACAATGCAAATAAAACTTTAACAATAGACTTCGTTTTGATTTAGAAATTGATATTAATATTTTTTATATATAAAATAAAGCTAATCTGGGCAGTGCAGTGGTTAGCACTGTCGCCTCACAGCAAGAAGGTTCAAGTCTCGGCTGTGTCTATTGGCATTTCTGTGTGGAGTTTGCATGTTCTCCCCGTGTTTGCGTGGGTTTCCTCAGGGTGCTCTGGTTTGCACCACAATTCCAAAGAGATATTATTATTCAAAAACCGGACTGCATTATTTAGAGCTTTAAAATTGGCATCATTTTAATCTAAATAAAAACAAATAACCTTCAAATATATATTTATATTTTTATTAAACACATATCCATGCCTTTTACATTTTACGTATTATTAGTTCAATTCTATTGTATTTTGTTACAGTATTTTTGCATGTTGTTTTTTTATGGTCAACATTTTAAGTAAACTAAATTAAATGAGTCAGTGGGGAAATCTGATGCACAGTGTCTTTGGTCTTAATTAAACGCCTGCACACATTTACTCGCACTGGCCTTGAAATGCATGTGGGCAATCTGTAACATCCTGTGCTGTCTATCTCTCCACGGACACACTAGTTCACACATAAACAGGAAGAAGAACCCACCGGTTGTCAGCAGCTCGCTCGCACTCCTCTCTGGCCTCTCTGGTCTCCACCTCCAGCCTCTGAATGGCCAGTTCGATCTCTTTGTCTCTTCCACGACGCACTTCCTCTTTCAGCTCCCTCTCTCGACTCAACAGCCATGCTTCCTGTGGAACGAAATGCAAGGATGAGATCACTTTTTAACTTTGTTACCTTCACTGCCTTTGTTAATGGCCTTAGTTTGACAGATGTGTGACTATTTTGACCTCTGGGGTGGACTAACACACTAAACCGGCAAAACAGCAAATCACTCCGCTGTCACCTTTAAAGATGACTTATTACCAGTCAACCCGTGCAACAGCTAATTAGATGAAGTTAGATGTTATCCAATCATAATGGAGGTCATTTGGAATTGTTACAAAATAATGACTATGGCTAGTTTAATTGAACAACACACTACTGTTCAAATGTTTGGTTTTTTCCTTGTTTATAATCTCATAAGATGTTGGAAATGACACGTAGGTCACCTTTTTTACCCCTTTTCAAGATTTAATCTAAGTCTTTTGTGTCTCCGCAATGTGTCTGTAAAGTTTCAGCTAAAAACACATATCAGATTATTTATTATAGCTTTTAGAATGTTAGAATTTCTGCTCTGAACAACCATGAAGCAGTTTTTGTCACCAGTGCATTAAATGCTAGTTCTGCCCACCCACCGTTCTCACATGTCTGTCAAAGTGTGCTTAAATATCCACCTCGGCTGTGTCAAATAAACAGCACAGTGACAGACATGAAGGAAGCAGATCTCACGTAACATTTGTGACAAATACTGGAGTAAGAACTTTCCCAATGATTATTTGATGTATTTGTTGTGTAGTCAAACACAATGTCGTTACAAAATTCATGCATACACACACACAGACAGACACACACACAGCACGTGTTAACTTTGCACTGTTTATAAGTATACAGCTTATTATCCAATGCTGTATAGATATTCAGTATGTCAATGTACAAAATAAACCTGATTTAACGTCCACAAACTGGGATTAAAGCATCTTCTTTTAGAATTGTACTGACTTGAGGCTGTGGTGATGAAGTAAAGACAGTAAAATCAGTGTAATTCATTATAAACATGCTCTCTTTTAAAATTGTTTTAAACTTGTAAAACTCATTGTTGAGGTGCAGATGATCACAGTGAGCTGAACAGATCTTTTAGGGTGCTTTCACACCTGTGAATCGATTCAGTTGTTCTGAAACAGAGATTAGAATTGTTACATTGTTGCTCTTTGCTCTTGGAGCGGTTCGCTTTCACACTGCAAAGTTTCTAATCGGACCAAAAGAGCTAAAACAAGTCAAGTGCGAGTAAACTCTCCTTACATTGGTCAGAGTGTCAGGGTTTATTTTGCAGTGTCCCGCTCAGCTGTCAGGAGAGGTGGTGGTTTGGTGGTGATTGACAGGGTGCGCGCGCGTGACGTGTCTGAGGAGAGACACGGTGGGGAGGGGTGAGAAGGGTGCGCGATGATGCCTATTTGAGGACTGGGAGAGAGACACAAGATTACCGGGAGATCATGACTCGTTTGCGGGCATCCGGAGACTCGCGAAACTTCCCGCCCTACTCATAATTCTCTCTTCATATAGCCGTAAGCCTATTACATATCCATAAAACACTGTGATATAACCGCGCTCGGATCGGATCGCTTTCTCACTGCAATCGAACCGCTCCAGGGTTCGTTTCAATCGAGCCGAGACCACCTCATTCAAGCGATCTCGGAGCGATTACTTTGGCGCGGAACAGAGCGCGATTGCCCTGTTCACATATGCCAATCGAACCGCGCTAACTGGGCAAACGAGATACGTTCCGAAACAAAAGTGTAGGTGTGAAAGCACCCTTAATCTCAGTTGCTTTTTGCACCTTCTGTCTTGTGGATACGATTATATGCGTTACTACAGAGGAATGCTAATACGCGGCTGTCAATCAATTCTGTGGGCAGGGAAACCGCACTCCTGCATCACATTGTGGTCAGCCTCAAAATAGGAGGGATTTGGATCCATTTTAACGTCAGATAAAAAGAGACTTATTGTTTTTATATTACTCTAATCTGACTGTGGACACACTATACCTACACACAGTTCTGTCCAAACAGCTTACAAAAGATGATTTTCATCATAGGTGCCCTATAAAGATGACTTATTACCAGATAACCTGTGCAACAGCTAATTAGTCGAGGTTAGATGTTATCCAATCATAATGGTGGTTATTTGCACTTGTTACAAAATAATGACCATTTCAGACTAGTAAAATTTAACAAAACATTACTGTTTGAATGTTTGTTTTTTCCCCCTGTATTTTTGTCAAATAAGTTCCAGGATTATTATTCTGATATGCAAAAACTTACAAAAATAAATAAAAGAAGAAGAAGAAGAAAAAAAAACATCCCAGCCCAGCTTTTAAATATACAATACAGTGATAATAAAATCAACTTTTTAGTTACAATATATTGAAATATATATGTGAAATTGTACAGTGTTGCCTTTTAGTGCAGAGTAGATATCAATTCTTCAAGCTATAGTTTATCAAACAATATTTAAGTTCAATTCAATTCACCTTTATTTGTATAGCTCTTTTACATTGTAGATTGTGTCGAAGCAGCTTCACATAAAAGATCATAGTAAATTGAAACAGTGTAGTTCAGTTTTAAAGTTTAAGTTCAGTTCAGTTTAGCTCAGTTCAGTGTAAAATTAATAATCACTACTGAGAGTCCAAACATTGAAGAGCAAATCCATTGATGCGCAGCTCTACAAAACCCGAACCATGCAATCTAGTGGCGAGGAAAAAACCTCACCAATTGGCGAAAGTGAAGGAAAAAAAACCTTGAGAGAATCAGGCTCAGATGGGTCCGACCAATTCTCCACTGGTGAAATGTCTTGTGCAGAGCTGCAGTCTAAGCACCGGAGGCATTTCATTAAAGTCTTTTCAGTCGTGCACTGCTCAATGAATATAAAATCAGAATGTCCTAATACTCACGGGATAGTTCAAATTACTCTTTTAACAAAAAATGAGTAATTCCAAGTTCAATAAAAAATCATGAAGTAAAGCTAAAATAAATCGCAACAATGTTTTTTTAGAATGGTATTTTAAGATTAGTCAAATTAGGGAAATTCAGTAGATATTATTTCTCATTCTGCAAATTACATCTTTTCCTGTTTTGCCTTGCTTCTTGTTCTGCAAATTATACCTCATCCTATGTCACATTCCCTTTAAAGCTTCAGCTTCCCACTTAACTGACATTAGTCATTTAAAAAATAAGCCTAATAATATATCGCCAAATAATCTTAGCTCAAAAACACATACACAAAACACACGCACCTCTTTTTTCATATAATTTTCCTCCCATGTCTGTTTCTCAATTTCGAGTCGTTCCTTCAGGGCCTTTATTTCAACCTAATGAAAAATACAGACAAAAACTCAATTAAAAGAACCGAAAGAATGCGAATTCAACTCATGGTGTTTTCGTGTGACCTTTGCAAACACTGTGCCATCAAACACATACACAAGTCGAAACACAGGTACTTTGAGTTCTGGTCTGAGAGCCTCAGGCAAAAACAAAACACGACTGATGTTGGTTAGACCAGGAATGATGAACATAAGGAAAAATCAGATTAGCGCTGCACTGCATGATATCATTAACACGAAAACATTACAGAATACAACTTGTCGATATCACTAACAAGTGTCATTAGTATTTATTTGCAATTTACCGTTTAATTTTTTTTATTTATTAATTAATTAGCCTTACTAATATCAATGATAAATACAGAACTTAAAGATAAAAAGATGTGTGAGTGGCTGCAACATCTGATTAAAAGTACATATATGTCATCATTCACTTTCCTTTATGCATAAATTAAACTGTATTATTTTGTTTTTGAATGCAATACATGAGATCAGCCAGATTGTTCAAGCTTCATGTGAAAAATGACCACAAAGTATTGCAAAGAAGCAGATAATACATGCTGCTAAACATCCCCTTTTGTGTTTGATGCAAAAAAGACAAACAGTATGTGCAATGAAGATGGAACGATTTATCTTATTATTGATCTGCATGTATGTTTTAATATGACTAGATGTGGAAGTGTGTTACCTGATGACGTCTCTCCTGCTCATCCCTGCTCTTCTCCAGCTCTTCTCTCAATGCTCTTCCTGCCAAAGAGCTGTTGTCCTCCAGCTGCTTCCTTAAGTCTTCCAGCTCTGCATGCTGCCTGTATCACACACAAACACATTCTTGTTTAGTTAGAACTTCATTGTATTATTTTCTAACCAAAGTTTAGTTCGTTGGGACATTTAAGCAAGACCAAAAATTCTCAGATGTGAGTGGCGTTAAGATGAATTTGTGATAATGTGATTTCTATCATGATTCCATCTCCCTCTTTTTGTTGTGTTTTATTTTTTTCCTTTGTCTTTGTATTTTAGGCATTAATGTCATTTGTACAGAGTTTCTGCAGGTTTCATCAAGTCAAATTTTGACTTTTTAAGACCATTTTAGGAACATTAAGAATGAAATTTTAGACTTACACAGGATTTTTTTTTCTAATGGCCTGGTAATATCATATAATTGTTTTTAGTTGTCTTTCCCTGACAATGATGGGGGAATTTATTGGGAAATTTTCTCTAAAAATGTTTAACAGTTCTGTGAATTGCATCTCTTCGCTATAAAAAAAAACAAAAAAACTTAAATATAAAAAATAAGGTTTTGTTGAGGTGTATTGTTGGTGATTAGATGTTAAAAATAAAATGAATTTAGGACTTTTTAAGGCTTAAATTTTAGTTTTTGAAATTTAAGACATGGATGTCACTGTGGCACAGTGGGTAGCACGATCGCCTCACAGCAACAAGGTCGCTGGTTCGAGCCCCGGCTGGGTAAGTTGACATATCTGTGTGGAGTCTGCCTGTGTTTGTGTGGGTTTCCTCTGGGTGCTCCGGTTTCCCCCACAGTCCAAACATATGCACTATAGGTAAATTAGTTAGCTTAATTGTCTGTATGAATGAGTGTGTATGGATGTTTCCCAGTGATGGGTTGCAGCTGGAAGGGCATCCGCTTCGTAAAACATATGCTGGATAAGTTTGCAGTTCATTCAGATTAATACATCAGTGGAACTAAGCCGAAAAGAAAATGAATGAATTTATGACATTAAGACCCAGCGGACACTCTGTTTATAAAAAGCCTGGCCCTCTATGCTTTTTGGATTTTTATTATTATTTGTTTCTTGATTTGATATTTTGAGCTGTTGTGTAAAGATATGTTGTGTACTTTTCAATAACACAATAAAAATGACAGTGCTGAGAAAATAGTAGTTAGGAAAGCATTTGATCATCAAATTTCAAAATGATTTATTTAAATAGGCATAAATCTGGATAGTTTTAAAGATATTTGCTAAAAGATTCAGTGGTTTATCAGTGGATTGCACAGCAGAATGAACCGTCGACTATTCCGGCATATGTTTTACGCAGAGATGCCCTTCTAGCTGCAACCCAGTACTGGGAAATACGCATAGACTCTCGCATTCACACACTCATACACTATGGCCCATTTTGTTAACCCAGTTTACCTATAGCGCATGTCTTCGGACTGTGGGGAAACCAGAGCACCCGGAGGAATCCCACGCCAACACGGAGGGAACATGCAAACTCCACAAAGTAATGCCAAAAATCCCAGCTGGGACTCAAACCAGCAACCTTGCTGTGAGGCGACAGTGCTAACCACTGAGCCAAGATTTAAAATACATTATCTAAACTATGTATTAACAATGTAATGTATTAAATTTAGTAATGTAACGATACTGGATATTTTACTGAAAAACTGGACAAAAGATAAACCATGGAAACATTATAGATGTCTTTAACTACTGTTTTACAATGTACTAATTTGTGTTCACGTTGTATTACAAAACACTTCTGCAAGTGAAGTAGATTTAAGGCAGATTTATTGGTATGAAAACCTTTTAAGGATTGATTAAGGAGAAGTGTTAGAGTGAAAATTATAATTACAGAAGTAACTACAGAATTTAATTACATCCATATATTTTTAAATACGAGTATAATGTAAATACACATCTATATAAAAGAAGTGTATAGTATCAAATTATCCCATTTTAAGTTAAGATATAGTAGTTATAGATAAAGGTAATACTCATGTGACCTTTAATGACCTGTAAATCTGACCTGGCTGCCAGTTGTGTGAGACGCTCTTTTTCCTCCGACACTTCTTTATAGAGACGCCTCCTCTGCTGCTGCAGCACGTTCTCCTCTTCCTGCAGCTGCTTCTCAAACCTGGGATACAAATTAAAATTACTCGGTTGTACATTCAATTACAGTGAACATTTCTCATCAAAACTCAATGCATGGGAATTAATTTAGTCACTTAAGCACGCAATATTGTTAGTCAAAACCCCATACTACCTGCATTACATGTTGAGCAATAAACATCCACACAAGCTCATGTTCACTTAAGTGGTGTGTTTGTGTATATTTTCTACCGATCCTGGCAACAATAGCACAAACACACAAAAATACCCATAATGACTTTATTATATGCTTATGAACAATGCGCCAGTCTGACAAGAAAATGTTATAGAGTAAGACAACAGTTCCAAATGAAGGAACTCATGATACGTGGAAGGAAAAATATATGCCTTATCATAAATCTCTGCAATAAAGCCACACACACAAAACACTAATTAAGGCCTATTTAATTACACTGACTGTTGCACAAGAGCCTCCATTTCCCACAGAAGTGCAAGTACAGCACTGGAAACAGAAAACAACCAAAGGAGCAGTTCATATAAAAATGCAGATGTTGTTGTGTGCTCACATTCATGCCTTTTCAAAACCCACATCTTGTATTTTTTTATTTTTTTTGACCACAAATTCAAACCTTATGAGAAAAATCTGTACATACAGTTCAAAAGGAATTGCATAGCCTATCATTCAAAAAGTTTGAGGTCAGTGTTTCTTTTATTTGTATGCTTAACAAAGTTTTATTTAGTAAGGATACACTAAACCAGGGGTGCTCAACGCTGTTCCTGGAGATCTACCTTCCTACAGAGTTCTGCTACAACCCTAATCAAACACACCTGAACAAATTAATTAAAACCTGAACAGCACTTGATGATTACAAGCAGGTGTGTTTGGTGAGGGTTGCAACTGAAATCTGCATGAAGGTAAATCTCCAGGAACAGGATTGAGCACCCTGCACTAAACAATTCATTCATACATTTTCCTTTGGCTTAGTCCTTTTATTCATCTAGGGTTGCCACAGCGGAATAAACCACCAACTTATCCAGCATATGTTTTACACAGCAGATGCCCTTCCAGCTGCAACCCAGAACTGGGAAACACCCTAAAACTCTTATCCAGGCACTCATACACTGACAAATAAAGTTAATTTCTTTGCACTGTGGGGCAAACCAGAGCATGTAGATGAAACCCGCGCGAACCGGAGAGAACATGCAAACTACACACAGAATTGCCAGCTGACCCAGCCAAGACTTGAACCAGCAACCTTCTTTCTGTGAGGCGACAGTGCTAACCACTACTATTATATATATATATATATATATATACACACACACACATATATGTACACTAGGGCTGTGTGATTTGGGGAAAATATCTAATTGCAGTTTTTTTGACAGATATTGCAATTTTGATTTTATATTATAGTCACGTTTCAGCTCAATAATCTGTATTGTAGCTTCGTGACGCACAAGAAAACAATTATATTTGTTTTATTTATTCTGAGTCTTCTATCTGAATCTTTTATTTTGAAAAATGACTCTGTTCTCTCGCTTACATCTCGGTCACTTGAGTGCCCAAATTAAATCCGCAAGCAGCAAAATAAGTAATGCTGTGTTCACACTAGACGCAGAATCGCGCTATTCGCGCGTAAATAGCCACGTGAACATTTGAGTTTACTCTCTTCATTTGAGCGTCAAATTCACTTCAGAACAGACGCAGATTCGCATGATGTGCAGGGCTTCTGTCTGTCCGGTGACTCTAGCTTTGTTGCTAAATGGCTAACATGGATTTTATTAAGAAAATAACAGTGTTTATGTTATTTATGAAGGCTGAAAAACAGCGTTGATACGTTTAAGGCCATGTCTAAGTCTACTAGATCCTTTCAGAGGTACTTCCAGCTCTGTGAGCTCAAAAACTTCTTCAGAAACTTAACCTGGATGATGGAGGCTTTCAGCTGTGCTTCTGACTGAGCTGAGCTCATTTTGATGAACTGTTGTCGGTGTCGGCTGGAGGATTTCCCCCGTGACACCAACAACAGGTGCTACATCACAATCACGCCCCCACAAGAGCAAGCTCGTAATTGGTTAACGCGACGCGAATGTCCGCTTGAGTTCAGATTTTTGAACTCGAGTGATTCGCGCAAAATGCTCAATTCGTGTCTTGCCATTCACATATTTTGCGCCATTCGCGCTGCAGGATGTCTATTCGCGCATTTGCATTGACTTAACATGTAAATCACTTGCGCTTGACGCTCTTTCCGCGTCTGGTGTGAACACAGCATAAGGCTGCATTTACACTGCATGGTTCAAGTGACTCAATTCCGATTTTTTTTTCTCTTATGTGGCACAGATCAGATATGGCCTGTGTATGTGTAAGCAGGAAAAAATAAATCACATGGATTCCAATTTACTCAAGTTAGATTCAGTCCTTGTTCATGTGGAAATTTATTCGATATAAATTGGATCTGTGCCCTCATGTCTGCTGTATGCCGGTAGAACGGATTTTGATCTGTCAATGTGTAGCACATCATTAAACACATACACGAATAATGTCAACTCTGATGCTTTCATTTTAGAACAGACTTCAGCAGAGTCCCTAACCTTAAATCTCATACACGAGGGCTAAAAATGCTTTTATATTGTCATGTAGCACAAGAGATAAGAGAGAGCTAGAGAGAGCGAGAGAGTGTAATATCCACCTCATAACCAGTATAAACTAATATAAAACTTTTGGATACAGTACAGTACATCACATGCATAAATCACGTCATGGACATTACATTAGGATGTCTACTGGTTTAAAACCTAGATTAAAAGAAGATGGACAAATGAGAACCTTTCTGTCATACACTATAGTAAAACAACCCTGCAAACAGATTACATACAGGAACGGAGAAAAGGGCGCTTTTTTATTATCAGTTGTCAGTCAACGCCCGCTCTTTTTTCCCAGCTTACTTGCAGTTTGCTGTGTAAATGCTGACAATCGGATAGGAGTCACTTTTACAACATGAAGCAAGCGGGTCATCAAAAAAAAATTTGATAAAGTCACAAAAACGGAATTGACCATCAAGATCTGTGGTGTAAATGCAGCCTAAGAAACAGGAAAGATTTTGGAAACAGGAAAGATTTGGAAAGTTTCTTTGCTAAGGGGAAAAGGCAGAGTGAAGGACCCACAGGTTTTTTTAGAACCAAAATATTCCCATATTACTGCTGTCTTGTTTTTCTTTGATATTAATTTGTCTATTAATGCTTTAGAACAGGCAAATGCTATCATCCCACTCGTCATATCACTTTCATATCGCAGCATCTTACTATTACTATTCGATTGCAATTCGATTTCGAATAATCACACAGCCGTAGTGGGTACAGAAAGTATTTAGACCCCCTTAAATTTTTCACTCTTTGTAATATTGAAGCCATTTTTAATTTTTTTTCCCATTACTGTACACAAAAAATTCACAGAAAATTAAATTGCAAAATTGTTGTCATTCTGGCAAATTTATTTAAAAAGAAAATTTTAATATTTCTAAATATTTTTTTAAAAATGTAAGGGGGGGTCTGAATACTTTTTGCATCTACTGTATACTTATACTGTATATGAACTGCATTCAAAACTTATCTCTGTGTTTTATTGTTTCATTCTGGCTGTTTCATAACTGTCACAAACCATGTTTATTGTGCTTTTATAATTATTTCTATTTACTTCTAGGAGCTGAACATGTGGTAACTGATGTCATATATATTTGTGTGTGAGAGAAGACTGTGTAAAAAAAAAAGTCTTAGTATCAAATCATTGATAGATATAATGTAAAAGTCACTTTCTATTTAAAAAAATGAATCAAGTCTTTAATATTCCTTTGACATCCTATTTAAAAATGAAATGCATCAACACAGGAAAGAAAAAATAATACTGACGTAATTAACCTTACATAAAAAATAGCCCTCTTGCACTCCTTATTTTGATACCTCATATTCAAAAGCAGTATTTAGCTTTGAGCTCATGTCTAGCCAGTTTCCTCTATTACTTTTTCCAGTCTCCCTTCCTTTTTTTCCTAGTGTGTTTGTGTTTTTTAACATCTGTGAACACATTGTCTTGGCTGCACATCCCAGTCATTGGTTAGATCTCTGATGAACAGATGTGTATTTGAGTATTCATTGCACTCCACACATATGCATGTGCAAGGGTGTGTGTACCTCTGCTTAGCCAATTCTCTTTCTCTCTGGCACTGTTCATCTTTTTCTTTCTCCAGCTGTTGCCGTAACTCCTCGCTCTGTCTGACGTAGCGTTGAGCAGCCCTCTCGTCCGCCTGGAGGAGCTCTGCCTCATGAAGAACTCTCAGCTTCTTCAGCTCCTGCTTGTGTTTGGAGATCAGCTTCTGAATTTCAGGTTCTAGACCTGAGTGCACACACAAAGAGATAGTGATTATACAAAACTTATATGATTGTGTGTAAAATTTTTATTTTTTTAAATATTTAAAAAAATGGCATCTTCTTCAAAATATCTTCTTTTGTGATGCGCAACAAATTTTCACACAATTTTCTAGCGAAGTCAAGTATTAAGTTAAGAGGTAAATCAACTATACCTGAAGATAAGAGTCTAGAAGCTTTAAAACTAGTTTGGTTACTTTATTTTTTTTACCCCAAGGCAGATTTGGCTTGCAACTTTGCAGTCAAGACTCCTCATTTCATATCAGCGCCACAGAAAAATCACATGGTAACAACAAATGGACATAAAGTCATAAAACAGCCTTATTTCAAAATTGATTAAATTAATTTAATCACTCAAAATTCTACACACAAAACCCCATAATGACAATGTGAAAAAAAATACTTTTTGAAATTGTTGCAAATGAAACTGAAAAATCACATGTACATAAGTATTCACAGCCTTTGCTCAATACTTTGTTGATGCACCTTTGGCAGTAATTACAGCCTCAATCTTTCTGAATACGATGCCACAAGCTTGGCACACCTGCCTTTGGGAATTTTAGCCCATTCCTCTTTGCAGTACCCCTTAAGCTCTTTCAGGTTGCATGGGAAACAAAAGTGTACCCCCATTTTCAGATCTCTCCAGAAATGTTTAATAGGATTTAGGTCTGGGCTCTGGGTGGGCCACTCAAGGACATTCACTGAGTTGTTGTGAAGCCACTCCATTGATATTTTGGTGGTGTGCTTTGGGTCATTGTTTTGCTGGAAGATGAACCATCGTCTTAGATCAAAAGCACTCTGAAGCAGGTTTTCATTCAGGATGTCTCTGTACATTGCTGCATTTATCTTTCCCTCTATCCTGACTAGTCTTACAGTTCCTGCTGCTGAAAAACATCCCCACAGCATGATGCTGCCACCACCAAGCTTTGCAGTAGGGATGGTATTAGCCTGGTGATGAACGGTGCTTGATTTTCTCCAAATGTAACGCCTGGCATTCACTCCAAAGAGTTCTGTTTTAGTTTCATCAGACCAGAGAATTTTGTTTTTTATGGTCTGAGAGTCCTTCTTCAGAGAGTCCTTTTGCTTTTGCCAATTTCCAGATGGGGAGTGGCTTCCGTCTGGCCAATCTACCATACAGGCCTGATTGGTGGATTGCTGCACAGATGGTTGTCCTTCTGTAAAGTTAGCCTCTCTCCACAGAAGAATGCTGGAGCTCAGACAAAGTGACCATCAGGTTATTGATCACCTCCATGACTAAGGCCCTTCTCATCCGATCACTCAGCTAAGATATCAGGACAGCTCTAGGAAGAGTCCTGGTGGTTCCAAACATCTTCCGGATGATAGAGGCCACTGTGCTCATTGGAACTTTCAGAGCAGCAGAAATTTTTCTATAACCTTCCCCAGCCTTGTGTCTCGAGACAATCCTGTCTCGGAGGTCTACAGACAATTCCTTTGTCCTCATGCTTGGTTTGTGCTTTGACATGCACTGTCAACCCTGGGACCTTATATAGACAGTTGTAGCCTTTTCAAATCATGTCTAATCAACTGAATTTACCACAGGTGAACTCCAATTAAGCAGCTGAAACATCTCAAGAATGATCAGTGCAAACGGAATGTACCTGAGCTCAATTTAGAGCTTCACGACAAAGGTTGTGAATACTGTTGTACATGTGATTTTTTTAAGCTTTTTTATTTTTAATAAATTTGCAGCAATTTAAAAAACTCTTTTTTTCACATTGTCATTATGGGTTATTGTGTGTGGAATTTTGAGGAAATACATTAATTTAATCCATTTTGGAATAAGGCTGTAACATAAAAAATCTGGAAAAAATGAAGCGCTATAAATACTTTCCAGTTGCACTGTACCTCTGCTTTAGTGTATGCCTTTATTTAAATGCCTAATGGCTGCTGGTATAAAATTATTTTTGTATCGTTTAGTTCTACAGCTTGATACTAGAAACCTGTTACCAGAAGGAAAGAGCTGAAATTCAGAGTGTAGGGGATGAGCAGTGTCACTTAAAATTATATTTGTAATTCTTCTTAGGTGCCTAGTGTACATAGTCTCCAGATTGGCTTATGACACCCAGTAGCTGGTGGTTTCAATTGTAATTAGAGATTCATTCTAAAAAGTTACCCAAAAGTATGTACCAAAGCATGTATTTAATAAATATTTAATAAAACACAAATAACTCAAGTGATCCGCAGTTTTACCACCTTGGAAATACTCCCTTCATTAGAGAAAACCACCAAAAGCCTATTCTGTCTGCCTATTTACGTATCACTATTTAACAACAGCACTAAGAAAATGTGAACGAAAAACATTCCAGGTGTGCCATCTACTTATTAGGCATTTTATTCTTGTCTTCAGGGCATAGAGAAATCATAAACGTGACTGATTTTGGAAACAGGTTTAACGAAACAGACAGGCTGTGTTGAAATGGATATTGTTGAAGGGAGTGGTTATCTAGATCCAAACTGAGAGAGATGGGGCGCTGGTGCTGATTGACGTCTGTTGTTGAACTCTGCTGACCTTTTACAGTGATCTCCTTGATCTTTTTGGTCTTCTCGTTGATCCATTTTTCCCGTCGGACCTTCTCTGTGGCACTCATTAACTCTTTTAGCTTCTTAATCTCCTATGTGGAGAAGGAGAGAGATGAAAGGAGAGTTCAACAGAAAGAAAAAGCACCAGCCATCTCAGGACACCTGTGGATTACTGTAAAGGAAATATTACAATAAAATTGAAATGTACTGAGGACCGTTTAATGATGATAACTTGGCTGTCACTTTTTTAAGGAACAGCAGGTTTTGGATCAAAATGAGGAAGAATAATTGACAACATCAAATATTTATTTATTGGATGGGAAGTGAAATGAAAATTTCTGGGATGTGCTCATTTACTGCTCCATCTATACTACCTGACAAAAGTCTAGTCGCCTATCCAAGTTTTAGAAACAACAAATAATACCTTGACTTTTAGTTGATCATTTGGTATCAGAAGTGGCTTATATGAAAGGTGAAGGCCTATAGATTACACTTATTTTACCAAAATAAAACAAGATCATGCCTTGATTTTAAATTATTTAATTATGACAATAAGGTCTGACTTCGCTTAGACAAGTCACAGAAATAATGTACAGTATATAATACAACGTCAGGCTGCAGTAGAAAAAGAATTAATATTGTGTATGACTCCCATGAGCTTGGATGACTGCATCCATACACAGGCCCGGATTGGCTAATCGGGAGGACCGGGAGAATTCCCAGTGGGCCGGTCCGTTTTTTGGCCGTGAGGGCTGGTGTTCCTAGCTCCAGTATCTGTTGCTCTCAGCAGTCACACTTTTTAAAAATAATTTATTTATTTACTTGACCACAGCCTTCTTATTCATTATTTTACCGCAGCTCTGCTCTTTTTATCTATTTTCACGTAGCCTCGTGAACAATATACGTAGATAAGATAGATGTAAGTAGACAAGTCACTTCTCAATGTACAGCTGTTGTGGTACAGTGGTTAGCACGTTAGGTTATAGCGCCGCCAACCCGGGTTCGGTCCTCGCCTGAGAAACATTTTTTTTTTTTTTCATTTTTGTTGTTAAGACATATAATACTGTTAGGGTTGTTGAACATTTGAAGTTCTAAAACAGCTGTTTTCTCCAAAAAAGACGTGATAGTGTAATTAGAAACTGAATTGGAAATGACCTTATTTTAATATAGTCAGTGGTGAACTGAGGTGGGCCGGTCTAAGGCTTGAAACTCCAGGGCTGAAAAAGAGTCCCACTCCGGCCCTGTCCATACATATTTGCAATGACTCGAATAACTTATTAATAAAGTCATCTAAGAGTCTTCAATGCCTCCTCCATCTTATCCCAGACATGCTCAATAATTTTTATTTCTGGTGACTGGGCTGGCTAATCCTGGAGCACCTTGACCTTCTTCACTTTCAGGAATTTTGATGTGGAGGCTAAAGTATGAGAAGGAGCGCTATCCTGCTGAAGAATTTGCCCTCTCCTGTGGTTTGTAATGTATTCGGTGGCACAAATGTCTTGAAACATCAGGCTGTTGAAGTTGTCATCCACTCTGCAGATCTCTCGCACGCCCCTAAACTGAATGTAACCTCAAACCATGATTTTTCCTAAACCAAACTTGACTGATTTTTGTGAGAATCTTGGGTCCAGGCGGGTTCCAACAGATCTCCTGCAGTATTTGTAATGATTGGGATGCAGTTCAACAGATGATTCATCAGAAAAATCTACCTTCTGCCACTTTAACAAATGATCAACTAGAAGGCAAGGCAAGGCAAGGCAAACTTTATTTATAGAGCACAATTTTATACAACCGTAGTTGATCCAAAGTGCTTTACAATAAGATAAAATATTTAAGAAAATGAAAAAAATAAAACTTGTATTAAAAATGTAAGAAAAGGAAATATATACAGTTAAAGTCAGAATTATTAGCCCCCTTTTGATTTTGATTTTCTTTTTTAAATATTTCCCAAATGATTTTTAACAGAGCAATAAACATTTTCATAGTATGTCTGATAATATTTTTTTCTTCTGGAGAAAGTCTTATTTGTTTTATTTCGGCTAGAATAAAAGCAGTTATTAATTTTTTAAAAACCATTTTTGGGACAAAATTATAAGCCCCTTTAAGCTAATTTTTTTTCTCTATAATCTACAGAACAAACCATCATTATACAATAACTTGCCTAATTACCCTAACCTGTCTAGTTCACTTTATTAACCTAGTTAAGCCTTTAAATGTCACTTTAAGCTGTATAGAAGTGTCTTGAAAAATATCTAGGAAAATATTATTTACTGTCATCATGGAAAAGATAAAATAAATCATTTATTAGAAATAAGTTTTTAAAACTATTATGCTTAAAAATGTGCTGAAACAATCTTCCCAGAACAGAACAGAAATTGGGGAAAAAAATAAACAGGGGTGCTAATAATTCAGGGGGGCTAATAATTCTGACTTCAACTGTATGTATACATGTGATACTAAAATATCGTATAGAAATTACATGTATGAGTCACTCAAAGGCAAGGGAGTAAAAATACGTCTTCAAGTTAGATTTAAAAGTATCCAAGGATGTAGAAATCCTGATGTCCAACAGGAGACTGTTCCATAGCCTTGGGGCCGCAACACAGAAAGCTCGATCACCTTTTGATTTGCAGCCAGACCGAGGGATCGACAAAAGAAACTGATCATGGGAACTTAATGGTCTACGAGCTGTATATGTCCTAATAAGTTCACTAAGATAGGCCGGGGCAGAATTGTGCAAAGCTTTATATGTAAAAAGAAGGATTTTAAAATCAACTCTGAATTTTATAGGAAGCCAGTGCAATGAGGCGAGGACAGGGGAGATATGATCTCTTTTTTTAGTTCCTGTTCTAAATCTGGCGGCTGCATTTTGGACCAACTGTAACCGAGAGTGTTGACTGGGGAAGACCAATGTACAAGGAGTTGCAGTAGTCCAACCGAGAGGAGATTAAAGCATGGGTCACAGTTTCTAAATCTTTTTTAGAGAGAAATGATTTAACTTTTGCCATGAATCTAAGTTGGAAAAGGTGCTCTTTACAACTGCATTTACATGCTTGTCAAACTGCAAAAGTGGATAAAAAATTACTCCAAGATTTTTGGCGTGACTGCAGATTACTACTTAGAAATCCTTGCTGAGTTTTGATTAAAACGTTGGTAGCAGCAGGACCTACAGGTAATAGGAGCACTTCTGTTTTATTTTCATTTAGTTGCAGAGAGTTACTGGTCATCCAAGTCTTAATGTTGTTTAGGCATGAGGAAATGTGTTCTAATGATTAATCTTCTCCTAGTTTAATAGGAAAATATAGTTAGAAGTCCAGTTATTATTTGTTGCTCTTACAACTGGGATCGATGACAAGACTTGTCAGGTAGTGTATAAACAAACTAAACAACTGCGCACATGCTGAATGGGTTTATGCATCAACCACTGGTTGGTTGGATAAACATTGATAATACACATCAATTTAGCGTGCTTTTTTGGGTGGTTTTCTCTGCATTATATCATATACAGCTACTTTTCTTGACAGCAGTTAGTTTATTTTTAATGAAAACATGACACATGCACAAGATTTAGCATTTCTCTAATGCTTAATGCTTTAATTCTTAAAACTAAATCTAAAAGCTGACTTAAAAGAACATTCTGCTTCATTCAGGGTAAAAAGCATGCAAAGTCAATGCTCCAAGCAAGACTGTCTGCAAGTCTGTGTTGCATCAGAGAGAAACAAAAGAATGGAAATGACAAGACAAAAAATGTGAGGGGTTGAGGGGTTAGATAGAAAAACAAGATTTACCTCACACATGGGACCCAGAATTTGCCACACCTACAGACAGACAGAAGGACAGAAAAAGAGAGAAACGCACAACAAACGCAGAAAGAGAAACACAGTTAGCAGTGGCAAAAGCAACACAGCGAGCGAACATGCTCTTGAAGGTGCACAAAAGTTAATAACATAAATACTAAAGATCATGTGCAGAGTTAATGACAGCAGAAGAAAGAGCCACAAAAGCACAGTGAAAGCAAGCCATTTAGAAATCAGCATGCATTTAAAGCTTGATCGCCCCCATGTGGCGATATAAAGTTGATGCAAAACTCTGCTCACCTGCTCTGTATGATAGTTTTACAGCGCTAATATATAAAACATGGATTCAAACTCACCAGCTCGTGTTGCTCCTGCATCTGGGCAATCTTCTTCGTGTATTTCTGATCCACCTGCTTGAGTTCACCCACAACTTCTTCACAGCGTTCACTCAGGGCCTTTTTATCATCAATCAGCTGAAAGACAGAGCGGGTAATTAATAAAAGCATAACATTTACATTACATTTAGCAGACACTTTTATACAATTTACACCCATCAACAAACACCCGGAGCAGTGGGTTGCCTAGAGAGGAGTTTAGGGTTCGGTGCCTTGCTCAGTGGTATTAAAGTAGATATTTTATTCACTCTAAAAATAATTCCTGCTGGTGCTGGAACTCGAACCACTGACCTTAAATCCCAACTGCAACTCTCTAACCATTAGGCCACGGCTGTCCCTTATAACCCTATAGAACTAGAATATCACAACGCTTTTACCTAATCAAAAATACAGTAAACAGCGTTTCTCAATCCTGTTCCTCAAGGCCCCCTGATATGCATATTTTGTACGTTTCTCTAAGATCGCTACACAAGTTTGTCCCATTTGACTCTAAGTGCCCTAAGAAGTGGACATCACAGGATATTCAGTAATGACTCCAGTTGAAAACATGTTCAACGTACCTTCACACTACTGTCATAATTGGAAATGCAGCAAACAAGTTGTGAAGCACAAATTATTAGTATTTTTTAGAGAAATGGAGAGAATGTTACTATTTTTATATATTCATCAAATTACAATACTAATGTCTTTCTTTCCTTTTTTATTTATTTATTTTTTTCACATAAAGGCATTATGTTCAGTTAATGTCTTGCTATCAGATTATTTTTACTGTAATGCGACCAAATACATTTGTCTTAATCCTCATCGATATTTGGCTATAGTTTAGTCCAGTGGTCACCAAACTTGTTCCTGGAGGGCCGGTGTCCTGCAGATTTTAGCTCCAACCTCAATCAAACACACCTGAACAAGCTAATCAAGGTCTTACTAGGTATACTTGACACATCCAGGCAGGTGTGTTGAAGCAAGTTGGAGCTAAAACCTGCAGGGACACCGGCCCTCCAGGACTGAGATTGGTGACCCCTGGTTTAGCCATTAAACTTAATGTCAAGACATATTTCAGACAAAGCTTTGTCAAACTGAATAGATGCTGTATCAAGATTAATACCCAGTCTTTAAATGTCTGGTGTCTCTATGCAGGTGTGATGTGTTGAGATTAATACCTGGTCTATAAATGTCAGGTGTCTCTGAATTGTCGCTTCATACTGCTCTTTCTGTAGCTGAAACGTATGATTAAGCTCTTTCTCTGTCTCCTTCACGTGTCGGATCGTCAGCTCCCTCTGCTGGGCCTAAAGACACACATTTACCTTTACATTAGTCTCTGACAGCAGCTTTCCACATCTAAACATCAAATGAAGTTGAAGGTATAAACTAGGGCTGGGCAATATGACCCAAAAGCAAAACCTTGATAAATTGAACACTACCCCGATTTCAATTTTTTTTGAACAATTATTTTATTTTCAACAGAATTTTTATTAAATTTTTCCCTTTCTCATAGTTCATTAGAAGTTTGTACTGTAAATGTACACCCTTTACAAATAAAAACATTAGACTGAGAACATTAATACATAAGTATGCTCATTTCTAATCATACTCATACTAAAATAATTGAAGGAAACCAACTATTTATGATTATTTGATAAATACTTCAAACTGAAATCAAAGAACACATTGCTTGAAGTTAAGAAAGAACTTATAACTAATATATATAGTTGTATATATTAGTGTTGTGTTTTTACTCTTTATTTTTATTTTCACTGAAAAAAACCTACATACACACAGTACAGCCTAAATCCTTCTTATATTTTTAAAAATAGAAAAAAAAAAACATATGTATGTTAATGTTTAAAATTTGTGTGTACTTCTCTTTAAGAAAAGACACCTCTATACGCTTATTTCACGTGGCCGGCATTTTAAAACACAAAAGCAAGGCTGCGGTGAGAAGAAACCCGGAAGTATAGGATCAGCACTGTAAACATTGCAGCAACATGCTGTGTACTACAAACCCCCAGCTGTTGCCACGACTTCAAAATGCAGATATGGTGTAAACATCACTTTAATATCATTCAGTTCAGTTTAATATAAACAATTAAAAGCATATTAGGCATCAAACAACATTACAATGTCTTTCAGAGTAATACGCTTAAGTGTCCTCCTAGGCTTCAGTTTATGGCAGCAGGTAAACACTGTGACGACGCTTCCCTGCTTCAGTCTATGTAACTCGGTGAGCGATAAAACACTGCAGTCCACTGTAGCACACCCTTGTGTTGTCTGTAATAGTGTTGTCCCGGTACTGAAGTTTTAAAAACGTCCATTTCCTGCTAACATTTAAGAGCCGCTGAGCGCGCTCATGAACGCTACTGATTAGCCATAGTATTCACCAGTGCTCAACAGAAATGACTGTGATTGGCCGTGAAGGTCATCAGCTCACGGCTCTTCACCGAGTCCAAACACAGATACAAGGACATTGGAGCGTTTAAAGCCATGAAGATCAATCGATTCATCAGAGGATCGCTCGTCTGAGTTTGTGCTCGGTAAACATCGGTGAAGTGTGGTGAACTGATGACCTTCACGGCTAATCTCAGTCATTTCTGTTGAGCACATTAACAACATGGCAAATCAGCACTGTTTAAGAATGCCATCAACAGTGCCTTGAATGTTAAAAGGAAATAGACTTTTTTTTTTTTTCAGTACCGAAATTCAGTATCTTGACAGGTCTAATATAGTGAAAGAATCAGTTTATTAACTTGAGTTTGATGAATGGCATCAGAAATGTGTGTTTGTGAAAGAAACTAGTGCCATTTTCCTTTACTTATCTAAAAATGAGGTCCAATATCCCTTTTTATTTTCACTATTCATCCAGAACGGACATTTGAGTCACTTGAAAGGCGGTGAAAGTATAAATTTGTGTCGATTTCTCTTTGTTGATAAAATATAAAGCCAGGCACACAACATTCCTGTGTGACTCAGGCGATACTTCTAGGTTTCTTCCCACTGCAGCCTCGATTTCACAGTTTTTTTTTTATTTATGATTTATTTATTTAACATTTTTCCATTTTACAAACATATCAAACAACCCTTACAGAAATAATAATAGAAAAAAATAAGTCAATATAAATACAAATAACATATTGATAAAAAAGTGAATAAATAAATAAATTAAAATAAAAAAGAAGATAATAAAATAAAATCAAATTAACAATTAATGCGAGGCAGATGTCTACATTTATACAGTAATCTCAAATGTTACATTTCGAGTGATGAAAGATTACAAACTGATGTACTATTGTGATCAAAAGCTGAGGTGATCAGTCTAGATCCAGATGGAGAGTTTTAACATAGAAAGAAAGGGCATCCCAAATTTTGGCAAATGTTCTGTTAGGTCTTTGAAGGGAATATCTCGATTTCACTGTTTAAAATGGCGGCCGGGTGAAATCAGTTCATATTTTCAGAAAATCATAAAAACTAATATTTTAACAAAACATCACTTAGTTAAATATTTTCTATATATTTTTTTAGTCATGCCAGTGGTTTATGGGTCTGCTGTGGGAACCCCTTATAAATAAAGTAATAAGCCAAAGGAAAGTGAGAAAAGGTCATATTAAAATAAAAATAATTCATTAACAGAAGAATTAATTACATTTTCTGCATTCGCTTGAACTGATTTATTGAAGTGAAAATGCGAATGGTACATGAGTCGACAGCAAAGAATAAGACTTACATGCAGCAAATCAATTATCTGATGTATGACAGACTCACATATCATTTTCTTTTGCATAGGTGAGAGAAAGCCTGGGTTTATGGCAGGCCAGATAGTTGCGAATATGAACAATGTGCTCACTGCGCTGTTAGTAAAACTCTAAAGCGCTCAATTGGTTCACATGCAGTATGTTTTTAAAGGAAAAGTATTAACAAGATTAAAAAAACTAAATAATGAATTATGAAAAAAAAAAACAATAATTAAATATTACAATATAACAGTTTTTTTTCTTCTTATCGATTAATCGTCCAACCTTAATATTGACTATGTATGTTTGTTTTACCAGTGCAGTCTGTAGCATATTGACGGTGCGTTTTTTCTCATCCAGCTCCAGTCTGAGTCTCATCATAGAGCCGGTGACCTCAGCAGCTGTGGCTGAGGCTTGTTCAACAACTGCTAGATCTTCCTCTGACAGCACCACCTACATATGCATAGGCATAAAATGAACTGTGCACTGCTTACACAAATTGAAACATCAAACTCATCTGCTCGTCTTAAATGTGTTTACCTCTCTATGTGATCCAGAGGTGACTGAGCGTGGTCTCTCCTGCTCCGATTTCTCCATCTCATCTAGAAAACTCATAATGCTTTGCAGTTTGGCTTCTGAGAGCAAAGCGCCCCCATCTGGAAGAGCTGGAGTTTGACTCAGCTGTCTGTGCCGCTCCACATTATCTGTCGTCAGGGAGTTAGAATCTCCATCCTGGAAAAAAAAGAGTTCATTTTAAAAGACCCTTTTCACAAATTTGTAATATTTAGATTTGTTTTTAAAACGTAAGAACATTCATTCATTTATTTTTTTTCTTTTCGACTACACAGCGCTATACACACTACACAGCATACACTGGCAAGATGACAAGTACTGAACTCCACGGGACCAGTTTTATTTGTTGCCGATTTGCATGTTGTTCCTTTTTTTAAATGCCTTTTATTTTTAAAATCTCTCACGTTAATATTGGCTATCGGGTAACATAATCTCCATCAGGGATATTGGAGTTCAATAATGTGATACGCAGTATGACTATCGACCTACACCTCCCAGTAAGTTTACACACTGCATATACTATAGGCCTACAGCTCTGGTTTGTTATGAATTGCGTGTTTTAAATGACAGCAAGACATGCTACATTTAGTTTTTATTGTAAAATACACATTATAACCCAGTACACAGTAAAATCATATTTTTCGAATAGCTTGCTTATTGGCAGCGTATATAGCCGTTAAGCTTAAATAAGGCAAGCATGTTTTTATTAATATTAAAACACATTAATACAAACTAGCCACCCTTAAATTTTTTTGTTTCCGGATATTTTTTATCAAGCGAAAAAATGCAATGAATCGATATCTGGATGACAGCGAGAAAGAGATGAGATCAGACCTCAGATTCGATGTGTGGCCACACGGCACAGTTACTTTACTGCATTTTTTTCATAATTGGCTCATCTAAATTAACTTTTCATTCGATTAAAAGCCTAAATATTGGCAGACAGAAGGTTTTGAAAGAGATCGGCTTCATTGATAAAAGACACATAAACACACACACACAGGATACACTCTTGTAGGGCTATTCATTGTTGATTTTTTTAACATTAAACGCATTATAATCATGTGCAAAAAAAGAACAGCTGAACTTCGGAAAAAGTGACCACTGCGGTTGCCGCGATGGTTGCTTAGCTTCTTTGCAGCTGGCTTGTCAGTGACGTGGCATTGCTAAATCCCTTTTTTGTTTTAATAAAAAATAAGATTATTTATTAATAAACAATGTGAGATGATGGTCGCGTGATTTTTAATATGAGAGTATGCATTGCGTATGCTATTTATGACTATTGATCTGCCCGCAACCCACCCATAGTTAAACTTCAAGTAGCCGACTTTTGGATTACAATTTGTGTATATTTTTGGCTTGAAACAGCCTTTTGTTAAAGATTTGTGTGTTCATACTTGCTACGGGCAGAAAAATTATAATAAGAACAAACAAATAAACCTAGTTAAAACCAAATCTATGAAGTATTGGTAGTCGGTATCAACGTACACAAAATAAAATACTCGTACTCGTATCGGTTTGTAAAAAAAGTGGTATCGGTGCATCCCTACGCTACACAGAAATGCCAACTGGCCCAGCAGGAACTCGAACCAGCAACCTTCTTGCTATGAGGTTACAGTGCCCCAATTCTGTACTTGCAACCTGATTTTTTTTTTTTTTTTGACTTTAAAAACTTTGATTTCAGGGGGACTTTAAGAAATTTCTTTCATAAACATTAAAATGAAACCCTAGCAACCTTAAACTTTTGAACAACAGTGAGAAGTGAATACAGAATGAGTGTTTTGAAAGATGAATGTGAATACAGAATTGCACTTGCAAAGATATGATGACTTACCTCATCAATCCAGGAATATTTGTCCTTCCTGTAGCTCTTGGGCTCTGACAGTCTCTCTGGCTCCTCTTCTAAGAGCTTCAGAGTGTCCAGCAAATCATTGAGAGTGGTTTTTGACTGCGCTCTGCTCGATGACGCCCCCTGTCGCTGATCTTCCATGCTTACAGACCTCTGGAGAATCTCCTGAAGGAATGAAGTGATATGGTAAGCAAAAGATTTTTTTTTTTCTTTCTTTTCAGATTTTTGGTTGTGAAAGTTTACCTGAGAGCACTGAGATACTCTGCATGCAGAACCAGCAGGCGAAGCAGCCCTCAGATTCGTCACATCATCCAGATCAGACACCACATTGACATTAGAATCTAAAGAACAAACCATGTGACTACTTAAAATAGATTTATAGACGTCTTCAAATTACTGACAAAAACAAAACAGAGAATTAACTGCATGAAATAATGTCAGATCAGAGATCTAGAGTAGTGCACACCTGTATTTTTAGCCTTGATATCTGTAGGAGAAGTGGGTGAACTTTTGGTGAGTTTTTTACGTCCTACTTTCCCAGGATGCCGGAGTGCCTCTGTTTCCTGCTCTGCGATTTGCTGTACCTCTGCTGCTCGTTGAGCTCTTTTCTGCTGCAACTCCTGTTTTAAATGCAAAAAATGATGTAGTCATTAGAAGTAGTAAAGCAAAGTACACCACTGTTTTATTACCGGGGGTTAGTAGGATTAAAAATGTGTTTATTGCTCTGGTAAAATGATATGTATTTAATCAAAAACAACCGTATTAAAAGTAATACGAATGTGCAACTTTAATAGTGCAATTTGAAATATCTGTTTTCTAGTTACAAGCACTTCAGAATGTAATTTATTCCTGCGATGGAAAGGTCGAATTTTCAACTTTTACTCCAGTCATCATAATGAAACATTTGAAAGTAGAGAAAATCAGATTCTCCCTAAAAAAGAAGAAGACAAATTGTATAAAATAAGGCAACCTTTCATGGATTATTTTTAAAAATCTGCAAGAAATAGTTAGTTAGTTAGTGTGTTAGTTAGTTAGTTAGTTAGTTAGTTAGTTAGTGTGTTAGTTAGTGTGTTAGTTAGTTAGTGTGTTAGTTAGTTAGTTAGTTAGTTAGTTAGTTAGTGTGTTAGTGTGTTAGTGTGTTAGTTAGTTAGTTAGTTAGTTAGTTAGTTAGTTAGTTAGTTAGTTAGTTAGTTAGTTAGTTAGTTAGTTAGTTAGTCAGTTTGTCCCTGTAGAGAAATTTCATTTGCAGCATACATTCAGAGACTTCTGACATTTTACATTTGGCAGATATATAAATAAATCATTTAAAAAGACTGTATCCCTAATCTAAATAAATATCTAGTCTACAGCTGGTCTATATCTAGCCATCAACTGAGTGAGGAGGAATTTAAAAAGCATACTGCTTGGGGTATAAATAATAATTTTATCCCATTTCTTACACACCTAGGAACACAATTTTGACGACCTGATGGTAACAATTGGAAGGTGTTTGATAAGCGATGCCTTTCATCATTGACTATCATGATTGCCTTATTTAGTACCCTTTCTTCCTATTTACTGTCAATGCTCTTTAGTTTTATTCCCAACAAACTACTGGTTGTTGTTACCACCTTCCCCAGTGACCTCTTCTGGGTCTCAGAAGCATTTCCATATCAACAGATTACACAAAATGTTGCAATAGTTTAAATAAAAGCATTATAAAACATGATCAACAATGTGTTGTCAACATTAAAAGACAAAAGTTTCTTAAAGAAGTACATTCTCTGTTGAAGCTTTCCCTACACAATCAGTCCATACATCCCTCTCCAGTTTATTTTTCCAACGTCACACCCAAATATTTATAATTTGTTACTAACTGGATTTGCACCCCATTAATTATTGTGGAATAAGTTCAATTGAAGATTAGACTAATTTAGATTAAAATGGAAGGTCAGTATTTTGTTTTTATTTTTTATTTTATTTCCTTATTATTTGCTTCCTTTTGGTATTTATTTTTATTTTTATTTTCTTTCTTTTTTATTATTGTATCAGTCTATGATCACTATACTTCTGTATGTATTATTTGTATATTGCATGTTTTATTGTCAATTGTGTAAATGCTGGTTGGATTAATTTTGTAAGTCGTTGTATTTGAATGTCTAAAAACAATAAAGTAAAAAAAAAAAAGGATTCGAACCAACAATCTTCTTGCTGTAAGGTGACCACTGAGCCACTACTCCAGACATATGATCCTTGTTTCTACTATACCAATTTACTGATCAAGAAACATTTCTTTATTATCAATGTCTCATTTAACCAATAGAATATTAAAACAATTGCGTTTAATTTAAATAGAAATTTCAGATGTTTCCGATGTTCCTTGCTAAACCAACCATAACATACCTGGATGGCAGTGAGTCGAGCCAGACGAGCTTTCTCTTCTCTGATCCGTTTTCGATCATCTTCTTTCTTTTTCAGTGACTCTGTGGTTTTTGCCTCTTCTGCTCTCTGCTCCCTCTCCTAGAGAAAAAAAACACAACACCCATAATCAATATATAAAGCTTAACTATTCAGAAGAACAAAATTCACACCAACTACATCATGTAGAAGCAAAAAAACATCTTTCTACAATGATAACATTCAATTTCTTTCAGCCTAGTCCCTTTATTCATCAGGGGTCGCCACAGCGGAAATAACGGCCAACTTATCCAGCATAAGTTTTACAAAGCAGATGCCCTTCCAGCTGCAACCCAGTACTGAGAAACATCCATACACACTCATTTACACTCACACACACTATGGCCAATTTAGTTTATTCAGTTCACCTATAGCGCATGTCTTTGGACTGTGGGGGAAATCGGTGCACCTGGAGGAAACCCATGTGAACAGGGGGAGAACATGCAAACTCCAGCCAGAAATGCCAACTGACCCAGCCAGAACTCAAACCAGTGACTTTCTTGCTGTGAGGCGACAGTGCTAACCACTGAGCCACTGTGTCACCTCTATTGATATGTTGAAAATAAATATTAATTTGATGCAAATTAAACATAAATTACCTTCTTTTTGGATGCAAGGAGTTGTTTGATTATATTCTCATTGGCTCTCTTACTGTTGACATGTCGACGATACCAACGCTGGATGATAATAGCAGCATGGTTCACTTGCTGAATATACCTGTAAAAAAGTTTGTAAATTTGTTAAATTGTGTACAAATTAGAGTATAACCGGCCTAAATTGTCCATTCAGATGTAAACAACAGTACTCTGGACAGCACAGCTGACCTTTCGGCCTCCTCCTCGGTGACCTCTCGTCTGCGTGGTTGACCTGGGCTTCGAGGGCTGCGAGGAGCATTGTTGTTGGAGCTTGATGACGCAGAGGAGAAGTTCTTCTGAGACTTAGTGAGAGAACCACTCACATCCAGCGTCACATCGTCATTTACAGTGGCTTTGATTAGGTTACTAAAACAGAGAGAGGGCAACTACTGTAAATGTGTAGCCTGGAAAAAGCCATGTGCACTATAATTGAGCATCACTGAATGGCTTATGTCTAAGAATAAGTTAGTAATCATTCACCAGTCATGATGAACCTACTTAAAGGAGGGTTTCTGATTGGAGCTCTTGGGAGTGAGGGGTTTCTCTGAGTGGTTGTTATGAAGGATGGCGGTCACTGCGTTGCCCACAGCTGCTTTATTACTCCTGAAAATACAATTCACAGACAGTGTACTTTATATACTCAGATACACTTTACTACATAATATTGTAAATCTATAAATAAGTAGTATTATATTTATAAATACATATACCGTATGTGTATAATATGTGTATATTTTATATTGCTATAACATATTTATAATTACAGTTTTATAGATATTAAAATGATATTTACTTTTGCTTGAGCAAAGCTGATTTTTTAGCAGCCCTTACTCCAGCCTAAAATGTCACATGACCTTTTATTAGCGGTGTAACGGATTACGGTTGATCAGTGACTCTGAATCCCAACGCACGGTTCGGAACACACATGGCCCGCTGATTAATAATTTTTTTTTTACTGGCAGATTAATCCTAAATTTGTAACAATCACAGAGAGATGCCCTCTCGCGTCATTCAAATCAAAATGTATGAAAGCATACAGGCTTCTGTCAATACTTGTTTGGCCTGCATTAATGCATTCAGTGTAAGCTGCACGATTAATCATTAAATAATCAGGATCTCAACACCCACGCAACAAATTCTAAATGAAGGTGATTTGCATAGGTTTATTAATCCTTTGAATCAGTGCTTTCAAATCTGTAAACGCGAAAATCAAGAAAGAGATTGAGTCTTTAGTCTTCGAGTTAGTTATGAAGTTTCAAACAGTCAAATAACACAGAAGTATTGGAATAAAAGTTTATAGTTTAGATATAACTACTGATGTTTGTGGCAAAGATTAAAATCAACATCATATGCATTTTATGACGCTCAAAAATGAAAGTTGTAGGCAGCAACTGCATTATTTAGCCAAAAGGTGGCGACAATCCAACAAAAATATGCCAACAAAAATATGCCACTAAATAATTCTTAAAAAACATCTATCTAATGAGTAAAAAACTGAATCATTTATTGAAAATTAGACAAAAAAATAAATATGGGTTGTAGAAATTTCAGAGTTCAACATTTAGTGTTATCAGCAACAGTAGTAGTAGCAGTGAATTTTTTACAATACTGAATATTTTGAAATTTATTTTGATTATTTCATTTTATTTTAGATAAAGTTTCAGGTTTTAAGTTATGTTTGTTAAAACCAAAAGTTTCTTGCAGTAGTGTTTTTTTTTTTTGTAATAAATGGAAAGCAAATGACATTTGTCTCCTCCCCCTTCTGGCTGATCCAAAAATGGTCCAATCTGTCTAAAAAACCATAATGTGATCCAAACCGTGAGATTTGTGATCCGTTACACCATCACTTCAATTTAAAAGATGCTGAACTGGTTCTTGAGAAACTTATACTTTTAATATTATAATATAATTTATATATTATAAACTATAATACTTGTATATAGAAAAGGAGACAGACTGACAGACAGACACACTAGTACACATTATAACAATCAAAACAGTAAATTTTCTAATATATTTATGGGCAATAACCCAAAATCAAACCCTAAGTGTAACAATAGTGAGAGTAAATGTTAATTAAAAAACCCAGTAGAGGATGTACAATAACTGTAACAAGACCAGTAAATAAAGTTTAACCTAAATGTCATTACTTTCACCTTTGATCCATTTAAACCATACTTATAGAAAGTAATTTGGTTGGCCTAACTGACCAGCCCAAACTGCAAATTTAGGAACAATTTTAGGAATGCAAACATGAGGTTTAAGTTAAGATAAATTCAGTCGAGTGTGCCTGAACGTTTGACTGGTGCTGCAGATTTAAACGCCATGAAAATCAAATGGAATCCTTCTACTCTTTTCCCCAGGGTATGCTCATGCTTTTACTGACAAGAAGAAATATGGCCTATTAAGTGAATCTGTTGTCTGTGACACTGGCAACAGGAATGCTTGAAAGCTATCCACAGAATCTGAGCGGCAGGACAAAATGAATTCACACCTGTTGTTGGCAGTGAAGTTGGCTGCCAAAGAGACTCCAGCTTCCCTCTTCTTTAGGCCTGTAGGAGAATCCATACTGCAGGTACTGTGAGAGCTGCTGGGCACAGGGAACACTCTCGGCTGGTCATCCTGAAGGCAAGACAACAGTTTAAAGCAATGCTACATAAATAGTTAGCAAGTTTTAAAAGAAATAGATACCCTGAAAATGAAAAATATTCATCATATGCTCACCAGAAGGGGTTCAAAACCTTGATTTTCTTTCAGCTATAAACAATTTTGAAGAATGTTGGAAATCTGTAGCCACTGACATTCATAGCAAGTCAATGGCTACTAGTTTTCAACATTCTTTAAAATATCTTCTTCTGTGTAGAACAGAAAAAAGAAACTCAAAGTGGATGTTGTGTATATAATAAGAAAATTTTCATTTTTCTGTTAACCCTCAAGTTAAGTTATGTTCAATTATTTTTTTTATGGCAAAACAATCCAATTGGCCAATTTCCCTGTCAACCAGTTACTGCAGCCCTACATATAATTTATAGGTATTATACAATCTGATGCCCACACTGACTGAAATCTGGCAGGAATGAGACTTTTGAAAGTCGGGAAGTACCAGAATATTCCAGGTGGTTCGATCTTTGGACATCTTGGAGAGGCTGGCAAGTTTTCGCCGTCCATCAGAGCTGCTGTTGAAGAGAGCCAGGAAGTCTTCTGTGTGGCCTTCACTACTATCAGACACACAGAGAGAAAGACGGGAAGGAAGGAAAGACAGAAAGGTCAGAGTATTGCACACAAAACACACACAATGAGGAACATATAAACACAACACAAGGCCAATAATACCTACACTACCAATTTGAAAGTTCCTATTTTTTTTACGTTTTCAGTCTATAGTGGGCATGTGCAAGTACTCCAATAAGGATTCTTGCAGTACTGATTCTTTGTCATGGTGTTCGGCTGATACCGAGGAACGATTCTAATGCTTCAAGCTAAGCAGATTTTCCCTCTAAGGATGGTACTTGAGTGGAGATCTCTCATATTTCAAAGAAAAATTAAGTATGTTTCATATAATCCTTTTTTGCGACTCTTTTAACTATTTACATTAGGTATGAACATATCATGGTCAGAAGCAGCTTTACAGAAAATAATATAACAGATATAAAAATTGATAAGATAAATTATACTTGCTCAAAAATACGGTAAATACTATGGCTGCATTTGCAACAAAGAGACCATCACTCACGTGGGTCGTGCCAATACACTGTAAAAACAGGTTGCACGGCATCTGTATCAGAGTACATACAGGAATCAGAGAGTAAAATTCAATACCTTTTAAGACCTTTTTAAAGACTCTTTCCATACACTTTAAAACCTCATCATCGCCACTTTACATCTGAACCGGTAACATTGGTGACATTTTAAATATATATTCACTAAATACTGATTGTAGGAAACTAATCCTAAACTAAAACATTATTCATATACTTTATAAAAATGTTAATCCAGAAGGTGTCACCTATGGAACAGCAGAAATAATGGTGCTGCCTTGGTTATTGCAGTAATCAAAGCAGCGTGACTTCAAATATAGCAGGATTTTATCGATTTCATAAACTGCACAGCATCCCAAAATTTCTAACTTTAGCATACAACTATAATTACACAACTGTATGATCAAAAAATATGCAAAATTTAGAGAGTGCATCGATTGCTTAAACCTTCACGCATAATTTACCTTCTCGCGTGTTGTGGCTCCTGTAGGTTATGTATAAATATATGGGAGCATATGTGCATCTTCCTCTGCTTGTAAGCTAATAAACAAACATCTGAGATTGGTTCATGAGATCAGCTAGATTGACAAGTACCGATCGAGTTATTAAATGTGCTTATCAGTCGATACCGATCTTCGGCTGAACAATCAGAGCAGCTCTAGCAAGTACTTTGAAAACCAAACACAATGGCAGACTATAAGATCATATGTGCAACCACCAACTACTGGCCAGGCAAGCATAACACAGCATGTTTATGGGATGTTTAAGTGAAGATTTTATTTTGTAGTCATCTATGAGTTTAAAAAACAAAACTAAGTTAAAATACTATCTTTTAGCACCCATTATTTCTCTAGTTTTCAGTGTCCCATGATTCTCCAGAAATCATCTAAGATTATTTGGTCCTCAAACAATATACAGCATCATATTTTTTGTACAAATTAAAAAAATAATTCAGAATCTTATAATAAGTGTTGCCAGATATAGCTGACTTTTTCCAGCCCAAAAGTTGTCCAAAACCCACCCAAACACACAAAAAAACACCCAAAATATTAGATTCATTTTTTTTTTATTGTAATGTATTTAAATTGAAGTTAACCTAGTTACTTTAACTGATATATATTTTTAAACCATACAGCAACCAACACCAGTGGTCACAGAACCACAAGGCAAGGCAAGGCAAGTTTATTTATAGATATAAGAAAAATAAACAAGAATAATAAAAATGATTAAAAAAAACATAACAACAGGTAAAATGTGATATAAAAGAATGAAAAAGAAGAGCAAAACATAATAGTGCAATCTGACGACGGATCACATCGAAACACTGCCCCCTCTCACCCACACACTGCACTTGTGTAAATTACACTACCTATTAGAGTATGTTTTACTTCTGAAATGGGGTATAAAGTCGCCCTGTTTGGAGTTTTAAATTCTTTTGAAGATAATTAGGTGCTGTTAAATACGGAAAAAATGATAAATAAAAGTGATAAATGATAAACCGCTGTGAGTTTAACTGCAGGCGCTGCGTGATGTGCCTGTACAGGAAAAGGAGACCGATTTGTCCGGGGAGTCAGATTTTGATACAACTTTCCCTCACCTCCTCTTGTGGGTAGGGTCACGTGGTTTGCGATATACACTGGTCACTACTAAGTGGATGAAGTAGGAGCATTGCAAGTTGGAAACCGCCTGCAACACTGCTTCTGATGAATAGAAAGGTGAGTGTTTATTTTGAATGTATTCATTTTGTATCTTTATAAACAGTGACTGCTGATTAATTTAATGCATACTTGTTGCATTGGCTTGTTCAAAAGCCTAGCCCATACATCTCTTCTTTAGCAACCAGACTATTTATGCTAAACATATCAGACAGACATATAAAAAAAAACTTCCATTTTCAGAAGTGCCAACAGCTGCACTGGGCAGAGACGCAGCAGAGGAATGTTACAGCAGAAGCTGGTATTAAAGGGGCAGATGTCCATAGGCATATGGCAATCGCATCCGTCTGCATTTAAATTGCATCAACATTTAACTTGATGTTCACTGCTATGTCTGACCCACCAGCATCTGTGCTTCAGTTTGTATATGTGAGAGTTTTGGGGGTGTAAGGGGGTGCCTAGCGTCAGCTGGTCCAATGAAAAGCAATTCAGAAAACTACATTCCTCCAAGTTTCCTCTTTTAAAGCAATTCAGAGGTCACAGAATGACAGTTATTAAGTACCCGAAGGAAGGGGGATGGTATTAGAACTTCCTTCATTTAAAACCCTCTGTGGCATCCCAGGATGCAGTGGGAGGGGAGGGCAGGACTGGCAGCTGCCGGACAAAAGAATTTCAGCACGCACACTTCTCCTTTCACTGCGTCCTCATTCGAGCGAAACCTGAGACCCCGGGTCCTCTCTTGACAAAGCTGAACCCAGCCCCCTCTCGCTTGCCTTGTGCTGCAGCCGCCAGGCCACAATAGCTATTGTGTAGGGAAAAGCAAAAATCACTCAACCCCCAGCTGTTGCTGCTTTAAGGGTGTAAACCCCCAACCTCTACGTCTGAGAGGTGATGAACCAGGCATACCACAGCTTGGGTGAAGTGAGTGCATGCAGGCATGTGTGCTATAGACATGTACGTGCACAAACATGCCATCGTTGCTTTCTAAAAATCATACATGTTGAAGAAGTTGTCAGAAAACCCCTCACTCTTGTCCCTTGAGGATAGTCCATTATCAAGGTCTGAATAGGACAGCTGGCTTGTGTTGATGGGTGAATCTCACAACAACATATTCGTATTTCATTGAAAATGGAAAAGAAATAAACGATATTTCACATAAAGATGGATTTTAGGACCATTTAGAAGTAACTTTGTTTTATAAAGTTTTTATTTTTACAATAAATTCTCTTCAAAGTTAAAAAAAATATTAAAGAATAATGTTTTTTGTTATCTAAAATGAATCAACAAAAACTCCAATGTAATGATAGAATCAGAAACTAAAATAATGAAATAAAACTAAAACTTAATGTCAACTGAAATCAAAACTTTTATGAAAACATAAAATATGCAATAACTAAAAATTCTTAAATTGAAACAATTAATAACTACAAACTTTCCAAGAACTAATAGAGGCAAATCAATGTTTAAAAAAACTAAAAATTAGGGCTGCACAATATTGGGAAAATTTAAAATTGCTTTTTTTAAATTTATTTATTATTTTGCAATATATATTGCAATATAAATACAATTTCACCATATGACTTAACATCTCTATTTGGACAGAATTTATAATGTAAGATCAATTGGGATGATTCTGCAGTGGGACTGCAGCGCCATAAAATCAAATTAACAATCTATAACATTTTTGAGGTCCCCCTACACATTTTCGTTGTTGTCTGTGCTACTTGCAGTGTGTTTCTGCATTTGCATGTGCTGTAAGTATTTACATGCATGCGTTTAGTCAAAGATTGATGAATTAAAGTTTACTATTTGCATCTTTATAAAATCTAATAAATAAACTATAAATGTTTTGGGGTCCACCGACACATTTTCGTTGTGGTCTGTGCTATTTGCTGTGCATTTCTGTATTTGCATGTGTTGTGAGTATTTTTATGCATAACAATCTATAAATATAATCAAGAAAAAGATACAATTGAAATAAAAAATTTTATCATTTCCCGAGTCTAACAGCACTCAAGTACAGTAACTGAATGACAAAAATAAAAATAATTCAATAAATTATTCAAAAGTTAAGGTCACAAATGGTACAATTTCTTATTTCACAGGCATCAAAAACAGATGCAAATGATGAATTATAATACAAACTCAACATTGCATATCCTGCAATGTGACTATTGTGAATGTTCACATTGCAATGTTGATGCTAAAAATGATATAGAGTTGCAATCAGAATTATTGATCCCCTTTGAATTTATTTTTTCTTTTAAATATTTCCCAAATGATGTTTAACAGAGCAAGGAATTTTTCACAATATGTCTGATAATATTTTTTTCTTCTGGAGAAAGTCTTAAATTTTTTAAAAACCATTTTTACATTTTTTTAAAAACCATTTTAAGGTCAAAATTACTAGCTCCTTTAAGAATTTTTTTCCGATAGTCTACAGAACCGACTATCATTATCTAGAAAATATAATATTATAATATAAATATATTAATATTTTATCTAGTAAAATAATATTTACTGTAATCCTGGCAAATATAAAATAAATCAGTTATTAGAGATGAGTTATTACAATATTATAATATTATGTTTAGAGGGTGTTGAATTAATCCTCTCTTCGTTAAACAGAAATTGTGGAAAAATAAACAGGGGGGCTAATAATTCAGGGGGGTTAATAATTCTGATTGCAACTGCATATTGTGCAGCCCTACTAAAAACCGAAAAAACATCCTAAAATAAATGACAAAAATGAGCAATAAAAACTAAAGTCTTCTTGACAGTTTTTGTGAGATGCACCCGCATCAATGACAGAAGAGGTAAACTTTCAAATGGCATGCAAAGGAAAGACAGATGGTTCCGTACCTGAGGCTTGTGTTGGCCTGCTGGTTCACCTGTGTGGTGCTGTTAGATCGACGCAGGTTCTTAATTGCCCGTGAGCTTCCCAATCCAGCATCAGTCTGCCAACAACAGAGAGTGCAAAACAGTTAGAAAACTGCACCTGCCGAAGACTTACACCAAGAGCTTCTCTTAAATAAAAGTGCAATTAAGACTGAGACCACACTGCACAATATGTGGAACATTACATTAATTTCTGTATCTTTTGTTGTGAAAATGTAAACTGATAATTCATAAATGTGGACAAAATTTGGTATTATTTATTACAGTAAAAAGCCTCTACAGGGCTTGTTTATACTTGTTCTTAACAGGCATTTCAGTTGATCAGATCACCAGTACATAAGAAGACACATTCACATTTTCAATTTGCAGTTTAATCCCGACGTTTTTGCCAACTTTCATGATTTGCATGGGCCTTTTTAGATATTTTGATCTAATATTGGTATAAAGCTTGCAGAAAGTAGACAAAAAACTATACAAAGAACACAAGCTTTTCTTCTGCTCTGATGGCTGCAAAACCACATCAAACGCTGTGGGTTTATAATAGAATCAGGACTGATGAGTGAATATTGTTTGTTTTTTTGCCTTCAAACCAAACTAACAATTTTCAGCTTTAACAACACGTCCTAAAATGTAATAATTCTTATGTGACCTATGTAATGAATTCAGCTGCATTAACATTGATAAAATAATTCAATTAATAAAAGAAAATTTAGAAGAAAAAATTTATATGATTTTTTTATTTTAATTAAAAAAAATTCTTTCATTAAGACTAAAGATAATGTGGTCAGAACTTTTTATTTTATTGTATTTTTTAATTAATTTAATACATAATTTAATTTTTTTAATATATTTTTTTATTTTATTGTAAAGCAATTCGTTGTAAAAAAAACATTTTATTTTACTGAGACACTTATTGAAAGGATGTGCTCAGAACATACAGTACATTTCTACTTGATTAATTAATATGTATATCTAATTGTATCATTTTATTTAAACTCAAACCCAGAAATGTGCAAATGTGAATGTAATGTAAAACAAAACATGTACTGTCCAATAGAGACAACAGCAACTGAGCTATTCCCCATTTGTGTACCACAAAAAAGCATAATAAATAAATAAAACTGTAAATTTATTTGAAGCAGTCCAAAAGACGGGATGCCTTGTCTTTAACTCATATATAAAACAAAATATTAACAGTATGAAAGTAATCCAACTACCTCTGGAAATAGTCAAAAGTAGTTATTGTTTCAGACCCTGTTTTCATGCGTATCGATTATTGTCCACTCGAGGTTTGAGAGCAACAAAAATACATCTTAATACCAAGTGGAAACACAGGGCTTTAAATGGAGAAAACAACAACATAAATAACAAAAAAGCTGTTAAAGACAAATGCAAGTCTTCAATTGAAAATGGTCGTGAACAAACCAATATTATCCAATCTATGAGTGTCTTAATAGACATTGACTACATTTACATGGATATTAGTAATCAAATGATTTGCCTTAATCTGAATAAGACAATAATATGATTAAGGTGTTTACATGAGTTTTTGAATGTTCCTTTTACGATCCCGTTTTCCAGCACATCATTCGATTAACGTCATTGCGTAACCACACTATCCAAATATTGTTCTGAAATTTCATGTAATTTTGAGTGTTTCATTTTTAATTTGTCAAATTTTACTGCAGTTTGGCACTTTCACTTTCATTCAGGAACATTTCATGCATGCCCCCTGTGACAAACGAGATATTGGATGTGAGTCTGACCAGCTGGAGGAGTGTTGTTTTAATGGAATTTGATACCACACCGCATGGGGGGAAAAAACATTCCTCATTTCACAATGCAGGTGTCTGTGGTTCTTCACTAAATTGGTAAGTGGAGAGAATGGTGTCAATCAGCTGTGAGTTTATAGACTATCCTGTCGCAAAATGCTGTGAAAATCCTACACTACGGTATAGTTTGATTAGTGTTTACATGTCTGTACTGCACTTTAATAATGCGACTAAAATCGATGTACTCCACATGTCTTAATTCCATTTCTGTTTAGTTTGATCCTAATCGGATTAAGGTCATTGAAAATGGCTGTTTACTCGGTTAACTCTGATTAATGGTGTCCATGTAAGTGTACACAATGAAAACACACAATAATATTCCCCTCCTAAGCCTAAAGCATGACATTCTTGCTTGTGTCGCTCTGATGTGCTTCGACAGACTCACCAATGTGTTTCGCTTCCCTCTGCCGTCATATGCCACGGACACAGATATGGATCGAGAGAAGTGTTTTCCAGGAGAAGCGCTGCTTGGTCTGCGGCCCATTGTGAGCTGAGAGCCGTTCAAGCTGAGGTCCAGTGCGTCTCCAGCTGCTCCTGCCTGGATGGATGCGGATGGACTGCGGGTTGTATGCATCTTGAACTAAAAGTCAAAGATTCAGTTCAGTTAAGAACAAATAAACAAACAGTAAATGCAACCACAGGTGATGCTGGATTTATTTCCACGCTATTCCTAATTTCTATCAGTTAGCAAATAAGTACTTTGGCACAGCATTATAACTAGTATTAGTTATTAGTAGGCCCACACGAAATCCGCAGATTTTCAGCCCAACACTGAGTCTATTTATTTAGTTGTTTGTAAATGTGTGTACATCCATATTTATTCAGTTTTTTTAAATAATTTCAGTAATATTATTGACTAACATGCAAATGTTCATATGATTTACTTACAATACAGTTTGTAAAGTAAAAACTTCTGTCTTTTAGTAGATATATGGTAGATATATTATATGAGAAACTTGCTTTGTTTACCAAATAAATGGAGCTGATAGGATTTGCATTGTAAACATTAAATAAAAGTTCAAATTTATTATTTTTTTTCAACATATTAAATTTAGTTATGATACACCCTAAATAATTCCGCAAAAATCTGCAGATTATTTTACAATATTCTGCACAGAAATAGCAAAAGATGTCTGCAGATTCTGTCTGGTCCTAGTTATCAGTTACATTTATAAGCACTTAATTGTCACAGTTTAACTACACATTTAAGTACTGAGCAATTTAACAAACTACTACAAGCACTTACACTATGGTTAGAATAGGGATGAGGGTTATGTTTAGGGTAGGTACCAGGTAGCATGTATTAATGCATAATTTAATGTTATTACTATAGTAATTACATGTTGCACATGTACCAAGGTCACCATAAAATAAAGTTGCAAATTATATTTGAGCTGAACAGTTTCAATCTCTTTTGCAGTCCAGGAAATCACAATGAATATCTAATTTCCTCGTATTTCCATATTAGGTGACCATTTAATCATCACAATGTACAAAAAAATACACATACTGTACAAAATGTCAACACACATACGGCAAGAAATGTAGCTGAGCAGCACAAGTAAACTCATGCACAAGTGTGTTTCTATGGTAACTCGTTCAAAGCATCAACACTGTCCATCACACAACCTTTGATAGTTAATCAATTATTTGTGTATTCAAAATGAGCTAAATATGAAATTGCACATAAAGAAATCTCAGTTTCACAGTCTAAGTCTTTATCATGCAGCTTAAACATATCAAAACAAAGATATTTAAAGGCCTCCAATGGTGGCTCAAACCAGATCTAGGACATTAACGTTACACTGTACACTGCATTTGTGAAATGTTCAAATAATAAAAGCAATGTTTAAATAAACAGTTACTGTATATAAGCATAAAATTGCATTGACTTGGTTCAGTTATGGCGAAACTGTCTTTCTTGCACCACTTCTTGTTGGCTTCGCATGATAAACACGATAAATACAACAGAATTAAACCGTCAATCCATTGCTTACCTCCTCTAAATAGTCCACATTAGATTAAGAAACTGTCTTTATTCAAATAAGAGCGTCGTTATTCCCGTTTGGAGCGTCTGACAGAGATTTCTCATCTGTCTCCAACTCCACAGTGAAACATCTTCTCTTCTCATTGGCAACCAGAAAACACATAGTAGCTCCGCCTATGTAGAGTGTTTATTGGTGGAGCTCAGCGAGATCTGGTGATCTGATTGGCTATTTGTGTGTCTTTCAGGCTAATAGCTGAAGGAGGCCTGACGAAAAGGCAAGGTTGGTAGGCGTGCTGTCCTGGCGGCAGATGTGGTGTCAGTTTGATATAACGTTACTGACGTAAATTATTAAAGATTACGTGTTATAATGGAGTTTAAACGCAGGCCTTTTGCCATCCTGGTGATGGAGGTAGTGGTTCTGGAATTTTTTGCAGTTATTCGCCTCATTTTCTATTTAATTATTATATTTAAATACTGAATTTACAGTTAAGTGACATTTAAAGCACTGGATTTTTTAGCTGAATTAACGTTTGCTTGTTGGATGGTCATCCTCACCACACTTTTTGATGTGCCAAATTGATCTCCTAAATATTTAGAATAAAGAAATATGCCATATTTATTTTCAAAATACAAATTTATTTCATCATATATCATTAGGGAAAAAATAATAATCCAAAAGTAGCCAATTGTAATTTATTAGACAAATAACAAACTGGCCAGCACATAGAACTTTCCTCAGTCAGAGTTTGGCCATTTGAATAATACAAATTTAAACATAATAATAATAATAGTAATAATTTAGAGCGTCGCAATTTTTCTAGCCTGTCTTGTAAAAACAAAAAGCACATTTGAAAATTAATGCATAACAACCATAGCCAAAATAGTATTCAAATTGATTTGAATAGGGGCCGCTTTTGGTGTTTCACTTTTTTTATTGGTCATGTTTTCTCTCAAGAATAAAAACAGTAGCGAATGACTTTGCTTGCATTTTCCACAACTGCTTAACTCTTGAAGCTTTTTTGATGAGTTATTTTACTATTTAGGATAGCATAGCAGTTAAAATAGGACAAATTCTGTACATTTGTCAGCGAGGATGGGTCTACCGAACCACCCAAACCTGACCTGGCTACGGGTTTGAAACGTGATGTAAATGCACTAATAATAGTAATGTATTTTTAATGTTGCTTTTATTTATATAATTAGAAATGTAACAAGAACTAAAATTGACCCCCTATCACTGTAAACCCAAAAAGTCAAGGTCACTCAAACCGTTTAAGGAAATTGCAACAAACCATTTAAGTTCAAAAACAAATCCTAATGAGTACTTTGAACTGAACAATTTAAGTAAACGAAGCAATTTGAGCATGAAGAGAACTTAAACCAACTGAGTACTGTTAAAACCCAATAAGTAAAAGTAACTCAAACCGTTTGAGGAAACCGATTGCAACAAATCTTTTGAGTTAAACTCATCTATACGAGTACTGTGTACTTACTCCATTTAAGCTGAAGTAATGAGGTATTTAATTAACTCAGTACCTTCAATTCTGAGTTCAAAACTCTTTTCAAATTATTATAAAGAGGAATGAACTTATTACACTACGTCATCAATGTTTGTTAATGAATACACATTTGCGTTGTTAGTTCATGTTAGCTCAGTTCCATTCAATACTAAAAAATTAACATTAGAACTAACATTAACTAAGATAAATAATCAGTATATATTTATTTTCCAAGTTTACAGATTGTATTTAAATGTTTTTTTCTGTGTGTGCTAATAAGCATACTAAATACTGTAAATCCTGTATTAATCAATTGTAAAACTTTATTTGGTCCCGATTATGGAAAAAAAATGGAATGGAGCATATTAAATAAATGACACAAGACATTTCAATATTACAGTATTGTTCAATTAATTATAAACAATCCCTGAATCAACTACTCATACAAATCTCTAAACAATAAAGTGCTCAACAATTTAAGGACAAATCTGAAGTCCTAAATACTTACATTATTTTGAACCAACTGGATTTACAATAAAAAAAAAAATACAAAGAAAAATGCTCAATCATAAATCTATAAAAAAGTAATATGTTAAGGCAACATCACATTAGCATAATAATTTTAACTCAAGAACATCTCAGTGTTTGAACTGCACTGCAAGCCTCCAGATTTCCGCAGCTTTAGCCCAAGTAAGTTCCTCCGGAAGACTGTCTAGACCTGGAAAAGAAGTGATGTCCTTCTCCTCCAAATGAAGCTCCATGGTGGACCTGATGCTGTTAGGTGGAGCACAGAAAGAGAAAGCAGGAAGACTGTTCAGTGCTGTGCTTTAGGATCAACAGTTAGCACTAGATTAATTCCATTGTTCTCAGCACACGCATTCCTTTTCTTTCTGACCAGCTGCCTGCTCAGTAGGTGACCAGAGCGGGGCACACTGACAGATGGGAGCCTGGAGGGGTCAAAGTGTGCCTCTCTTGGGTCTGAAAGCCCACAGGTCTCTGGGGAATGACTAGATCTGGTACTGTTGTGATTGAAAGTGGTTGATCTGGGTAAAAGCGTGAAAGGCCCTTATGTCTGTTTGTGTTGTGGTAATTGGTACTGAATGCCTGGTGTATTTGCTTTGGATTCCAGAACATTACCTGACCTTTTTATTTTGAGAATCATCAGCAATTATCATGTAAGTGTAAAAGAGTGGATTGACTCTTTCAATCACAAGAAGAATATTTTATTGAGACTAATTTATTTAAATGTGTGTAATTATTGCATTGCTTTTCTTATTATTACAAATAATTCTTGCAAGTCCATTTTATTTTATTCATTCATTTTATTTTCGGCTTAGTCCCTTTATTAATCAGAGGTCACCACAGCGGAATGAACCGCCAACTTATCCGGTATATGTTTTATGCAGCTGATGTCCTTCCAGCTGCAACCCAGTACTGGGAAACATCCATACACAGTCATTCACAAACATACAGACAATTTCGCTTCCCTAACATGGGGAGAAAATGCAAACTCCACCCAGAAATGCCAACTGACCCAGCCGAAGCTTGAACCAGAGACCTTCTTGCTGTAAGGCGATCATGTTACCTACTGCGCTACTGTGACACCAACATTTACTTTATATTCATTTTATGCTTAGCCAAAATATACAGTCATTTTGTCATTGTTGCCTTACGTCAGGGTCTTAAGCATCCTGTGCAGGTTTATTTTGTGATACTTTCCATGTACTAATATAACATCATAAAATATAACATCAGAGTAATATGTTGTTGTTTATATTCTAAATTAATATGCAGGTCTGCATTTTAACTGTAATGCATAAAATTGGAAGAAATTAGGTTGAATATGTTATTTCCAATTTCAAACAATAATATATACATATACATATACATACATACATGTGTGTGTGTGTGTTTGTTTGTTTGTGTGTGTGTGTGTGTGTGTGTGTGTGTGTGTGTGTGTGTGTGTGTGTGTGTGTGTGTGTGTGTGTGTATGTATATATATATATATATATATATATATATATATATATATATATATATGCATTTATGTATGTATGCATATGTATATATGTATATACAGACAGATACATATACACACATACACACACACATTCACACACACACACACACACACACACACACACACACACACACACACACACACACACACACACACACACACATACATACATATATATATATATATATATATATATATACATACAAAGTTGAGGTCAGAATTGTTAACCCCCCTTTAATTGTTTTATATATATATATATATATGTATATATATGTATGTATGTATATATATATATATATATATATATATATGTATGTATGTATGTATATATATATATATTCCCCAAATGATATTTAACAAAACAAGGACATTTTCACAGTATGTCTGGTAATATTCTTTTGCTTCTGGTGAAAGTCTTATTTGATTTATTTTGGCTAGAATAAAGCATTCAAAAGATTTTCAAAAGTATTCAATGTTTCCCACATTGGTAAGACTTTATTTTAATGGTCCCTATTGCACATTTTGTTGACAAAGTTTCATTGCAACTACAGTTTTAATTTCAAAAATGAATCCTCATTGCACTTAACAGTTTTACAATAATAATAATAAAGCTTGCTATAATTTTTTATGATTAATGAAGAAATTTAATGCTTTATTTCCTTATTTCATCTTAATTTACGAGCAGCAGGGTGTTTACAGCTATTGTATATTTCTGTCCATTCACATTCTGTCTCTTTGTGCCCCTCTGTCGACATAATCACAAACTGCTGTTACACCAAAAAACACATTCTTAATCCTTCAGTGCGGCGGTGGTGGCACTCGTGGTGGAAATTGTCCTTTTGAAGTGTCACCCACTGTACATGCCAATTAATTCTCATTTGAGTATTAGTAGTCTGCTTATTATTATCTGCTGATAGTGCTCCTTTAACTGAATATAAGAAACAAGTGCATGACAACTTACCCGAACCCTAACCTAACAGCCTACTTATAATATGATGGGAAATAGTTGGCATGTAAATGCAGTGTAAATTAAATTCAACAAAATGCGTTAAAGGGAAAAATAAATCAAAATAAAGTGATACCCCCACAATAACTAGTTAATGTGAAGTTTCTGATCAGAAACAATATGATTTGTTTAAACATACTTAACAATTCTTCAGATCCAAACAGACCTGAAAAATGAAAATCCCACACAGATTTTTGAATGCATTACAAGGTTTTAAAAAGTCTGTTAAACAAAACCCTTGACATCTGTGAAAAATGGGCAGGTCTACTTTGCCTTTTGTGGACAGTTCGCTTCATCAAACCTACTCTTACAAATGGCAAATTCAAAAGACAGCAGCCCAAATGGCTAGACTACTGAGTGAATAATATCAATAATAATAATAATAAAAAAAAATATGTAGCCTGAAATGTAACTATTTTTTTGTATTGGCAAAAAAAAAGAGAATAATTGATGCAGATCCATACGATTTAATTTGTATTAAAACGTACAGTTGTTAAAATGAGTTGTACCCCTAAACCCAACCTTCATTTGGAGGTGAGCAATTTGTACTAAAATGTAAGAACATGATAGTATCAGTAAATTAGCATTTAAAAAAATGGAGTGAATTGGTGTGAGATTGTGTTGAAATAAAAACTAAGTTCTTACTCC